CCACTGTACTAACAAGTGAGAGAGAGTCTTTTTGCTTTACTATGGGAGGGAGATAGGAAAGGGAGCTCTACGAGTGAGATGGAAGACAAGAGGTGGAGTTTAACGAGTGAGCATTTCTGAGTATAAAACCCAAGATCTTGAACAGTAAAGATTGTCAGTATTCATCTATCTCTTGCTCTTGCTCTTGCTCTTACTCTTACTCTCACTCTCTTACTCTTACTCTTACTCTCTTACTCTTACTCTCTTATACTCTCTCTCGCTCTCAATATGTCTTCTCTACCTCCATCACCCTCCAATCTTGCTTCCCTCATCATGTCTTCGGCTACCTTTGCCGACCTCTTTGGCCCGATAGCTCCTGCTGCCGCTCCAGTCTCTCCTTCACCACCACTAAGCCACCATTATGCTCCTTCGGTCGTGGCTCGATCCCTCGACGCCACTAGAAGGGCAGCCCTTGCAGACCCATACAGTCTGCAAGGGTCTGTTCCCTTGGCCGAGGTGATCAACCTCCTCAACTCTCTTCGTGTCTCAATTGATGAGAATGGGGATCCAGCTGCAGCCTCATCTTATCTGGTGGAAGCAGCGGATCAGATGATTGACTTTTATGGTCAGGATCCAACCTCAGCAGCTGAACCTGAACCCGAACCTGAACCCGAACCTGAACCAGAACCAGCATCCACGACCACCATCACCATTGACTCGACCATCACTCTTGACTCGACCATCACCCTTGACTCGACCATGACCGACCCCAACTACTCCACCATCACCGATCCCTCTGTCTCCATCACCCTTGACTCTATCTCCTCTACTTCCCTTGGCCCAATGTCATCCTTTTCCTCCATCTCCACCCATGAGAGTGACTGGTCCACAGTCTCTGATCACTCAGAGATTGGGATCGAGTCATCTCCATCATCATCATATTCACCGGCTTCACCTGTTCCCCTCCACTCCACTCCCATCAAGAAAACCCCAACCCGAACTCTCCCTATCATCCCTCAAGTTATTCACTTCTCCCCCTGTAAGAAGCGCGCACATAATGACTCTTTCGAGCTCATTCAGTGTCCCAAGCGTCTTCGAATTATAACTTTGCTTCCTTCAAATAAAAATTAAATTTGAAAATTAAAACTTTAATTGTCTTTTCTTTTTTCTTTTTTCGGGTTCTTAACTTACCTTAATTTGATTATAATCCTTTGGAACTTAATCACTTTTCTTTATTTTAACTTTTTCCATTGGCTTAACTTAATCTTGCACTTTTCTTTTAAAACTTAGCCTTTAGCTTTATTTAAGCTTTTTTCCTTCATTAACATTTGGTATTCACCTATACTTTCATTCATCACCCCTAACAACATTAAGCTCCTCCCTTTTTAACGTTTAGACACATCTTACTACTAATGATGAATTGTAATATAAAAAGTTAAAAATTGATTGTGTTCAACGATTTGTGCAAAGTTTAATTTAATTATCGTAGTTTTATTGGTGTGAATTGAATTTTTATTGATCAAACAATTAACCATTAATGTGAACAATTTAATCGTTGGGATATTAGATTGTTACCATAAATAGTCTTAAATCGGTCAACTGATTAGGTATCAAAAGTTATCTTTACTTGATTATCATTAATTGCGCGAATGATTAAGAAAGTGGTTGCAAACTCAAAGTCTTTGGCTGTACATCAGAAAATCAATTGTTCTGCCAATTTATCAGATTCGAGTTTTTTATTTAAACAATCATCCTAATTAATCACAATAAACAATTGTACGATTGTATAAATCGAAACAATTTATTTAAATGAGCGATTAGATCAATTTGTAATCTCTATCAGATGATTACAATAACAGTTAATTCAGTTTCATCAATCTTAATTACATTCCTATCGATGGTTACTAGTTGATGACTAAATCAAAATTCAATTCCTTAGGTAACTAAATAATGAGACTCAAGTGTTAAAAGGTTAGTTGATTCTGATTTGACACTAAAACACTGTAATTAAAGTCACAATTAATTAACTATCATCAAGTTTATACGAGTAATCAATGCATGTATATGAACATGATATTAGCTAACAATGTAAGATATTGAGACCAAGTTAAAGGATTAAGAGTTATTGATTAAGTCTAATTAGTACATTGTAATGATGATAATAATGCAATCGATTTTGAAATCTTTACATTCAAAGAAGCAGATTAACTAAATCAATTTTTCAATTTCTATTATGGTTTGATGATTGATGTATCTAAGGAAACAATCAATCAATTAAAATTGATTCAATTTATCATTTTATGCAAAAAGATTAAAATATAAATGAATATGAGTAAATAAAATTATGGAAGGCACAATCGACTTCAAATATTAAAAGAATTACAAGTTTTCATCAATCAAATGAAGATGAAAAGACCAGATAATATTCAGAATAAGATTGAACCTAATTATTGAACATTATGAACAAGACTACGAGGATTCTATGGGATATTTTTGTTTCCGAAAACTTAGCCCGAGGGAAGGAATAACTTTTGTACCGAACAGAGATTTAGGTCAAAAATGCTTCGTAATTTGACTCAGTTGAACGTCGATCGTTCGAAGTCTCTTGTTGATTGTCCATCCTTAAGATGACCTGAAGAGAATGACGATTCGTTAATCACAATCGAGTTACTCGGCTAATTTTAATTTGTTAATGACAATCACTCGACAAGGACATTATAAGGATATGATATTTTAACAATTGCAATCAATGATGTGATTAACTATTTATTCAGGTTAATTTAACTTTTTATGTTGATAAATAATTTACCTGATGAAATGACAACTTTACTTGTGTCAAGTTTCTGGTTAACCATTTTCACTAAACTTTTCTGTTTTCATTTGTTTACAAAGTTAATGAGCTAATCTAATTTTGTATCCAATTGATCAGTTAATCGATTTCATCAACGACTGAAACTTCATTCTGAGCCTTCGCAACCCTGTTAATTAATGATTAGCAATCAACGACTTTATTATTCTAAATCCGTTGATGATTGAGAATCTTCATGGTTGCTCTTTACTTACGTGCTATTATTAATAAATATTGTCAATACCTGGATTGCGATTCTAATCAATACTTTAATTCATTTGGAATTATGTTTGATTATTTTACTATTTGAAGTGAAAAAATTCAATTATCGATTAACGTGTTGATAATTACAAACAGAGTGAATCATCAAGGAGATTGAATTTAACATTGATTGTTAGCGTTGAAGGAAAATGATTCAATTTGATTATAAGATAACATTGATGCTTGAAATTGATTAATTTAATCAATTTTAATAGATTAATCTATCATTTTCTACAAACTCATTAATTATGGATGAATAGGAATCAATAAAATTGTCGTAGACACAATTGACTCCAAGTATCGAATTCATAAAAGTTTTTATTAATCAAATGGAGATGGACAGATCTTATAATATGATTAGTATGTTAAAGGAGATAATTAAAGTTTTTTATGCTAAATTGTTACAATTAGCGTACAAAATCTCAGGTTTACCTGGTGAAAGTGACAGTTTTGCCTGTACAACTGAAAACTTCAAACAATTAGAGAAAATTTCATATTTATTATTGAATACTCGACGAGGATATTCACAGAATTTAACTGAACCAATTCCGATTAAATTGAAAATTTGCAACAATTTGTTTCGTCTGATTACTGTCATATTGATTACTCGTATACTCATCGCCTTAAATACTAACGATTATCAAAATATTATCGCTGATCCAGTCATAGGAAAAAATCATCACGATGTATTCTTGTTTTGGTTGCATTAACGACCATTATGACCTTTTTACTTCGTGAATTTATATTAAATGCTGAAGAAAACGGAAGATACTTTTTAACGTTGAGTCGTATCAACGAACTGATCATCGGGCACAATTTACTATTTCTAAAATTGAATAGATCTCAGCTTGGATTTCACGAAAAAATATTGACATTTTATAGCCTTTTTAGCACTCGATTTTTTTAGATTTTTATTGATAGGTTTCTTAAGCGTTTCAGGCTATTTGGCTGCGGAATTTTATTTCAAGGTATTGGTGATCAGTCAACAATCAATTAATCAACTTTTCTAATTTAATTCTGTGTTTTAATTGTCAACAGACTCAAAAACTACATACTCATTTAATACGACTTTTGTATAATTCAAAGAGTGATCATGTAACTAGTTTTAAGGTAAAAACTTGTCAATCGATAATCGAAGGTCAATTGTTCTAATGTCCATTGTTAGTCTCTAGGTTTACTTGATCGTTTATTGCATCCATCAAACGGAGTTTCTGTCGGTGATCTGTTGGTAGTTAAGAAAGATTTCATTGTTTTCGTAAGTTTAAACTGATTGTTTGTGATTAAATCGATATTCATTTGAATTTTTGTTATTCCAATTTTTAAGTACATCCTGGAAAGCGCAAGTTTCATCATGCTGTTGACTTGTAACTTGCGATCAGTTACTGGAATCTAAGTAAGGATACAATCCCTTTCTCAGGTATCGCCTTTACATTGAACTGTTAGCGTCCATTTGTATTATCTTGGTTCATCACATATCAACTTGTAGGTTTATTGAAATCAATGAGATATTATCGATGTTCAGGCTTAAATCAATACTAAATTATACTGAAAAGTTTGAGTAAATCTGAAATTCATTTGATTATTTTACCGATATTGAAAGTTAATAATTCAATCATCGATCAACATAAACGTGTGGATACAAAGTAAATCATTAAGCTGTACGTATTGATAATTTAATTTAATTGTATTAGTAAGAATGATACTCGAATCATATATTTTTTCATATAAAATGATACGAATCAATGAATCTAAGTGTAGATACAATTGAATTGAGAAGCTAAAAGTCGATTCATATGATGTTGATTGTTAATCAAACTTAGTCTTCACCTGACAACATGGATAAATTTAGAAAGATGATTAAAATTGGTTCCAATAAATTGTTTCAATTATCACACCAAGTACTAGGTTTACCTGGTGAAAATGATGATATTACCTGTGCAATTAAATATTTTAAAGAGTTAGAGAAAATGTCATATTTACTTTTAATCACCCGTCGAGGGTATTCACAGAACTTTGCTCATCCAATTCCAACTAAACTGAAAGTTCTGACCAATTTATTTCGTTTGTTATCTGTAATATTAATTGCTCGCTTAATAGTTACCAGTAAAACGGCTGATTATCAAGCTATACTCGCCGATCCGGTAATTGGGATAAACGACCATGACCAATTGGTTTCTGTTACTGCAATTCTCATAACTCTGGGGTTCACAGTTCGTGAATTCATATTATATGCTGAAGAGAACGGAAAGTTCATTTTATCGTACAGTCGAATCAGCGAAATTATCAGCAATTCCGCTTCACAATCCAGACTATTGAGTGAATCTCAGATTCAATCGAACACAAAACTGTTGATATTATTCAGCAAAATGTTTACACGAGGAACGAAAATAGCAATATCGGTTGTATTGGGTCAAGTTTTAGTCAGAATTTTCAATCCGGAGCTTTTTTCATCTAGTATGTTGGTTGTTTCATCATTCTGGCTGATTATCGAAGCGCTGGTCGCCACAATCAATCTTTGCAGCGGAGTCATGGAGTTTCACAATCAATTCATTGTCCTTTTAATTTACTATTTAGACTTGAATTCATTGAATCATTTATGCAAATCGCATTTAACATTACCAAATGATTGTCAGCGTATGCGTTTCATTAATTATTCAACGATTAAATTTTTTAATGAATTGGATTTAGTTTATTTTGATATTAAGTATACTTTGCTCAGCTTGCTTATGTTAGGATCACTTTTGGGAACTTTCAACCTTTTTTTTGGACTGATTATTACCATCGTGTCGGTCGTATTTTCTAAAATTATAGCGTGTGGTGGTTTATTACTAATTTTTGCTGGGATTTCGGGTTATTTAGCAGCGGGATTTGTTTCCAAGGTAACAATGAGAAGCTTGACAATAAATATGAAAACTTAAATAATCGAGTTCTGAACCTCAATTGCTTATATTAATAGACTCAAGAGCTGCACACAAATATAGCGAGGCTTTTGTATACTTCAAGAATCGATGGTCTAGTTACTAATTTTAAGGTAAGAGCGTATCAATCGAAGGTCAATTATTTTAATGTCAATTGTTAGTCTCTAGGTTTACTTGATCGTTTATTGAATCCATCAAACGGAGTTTCTGTCGGTGATCTGTTGGTAGTTAAGAAAGATTTCATTGTTTTCGTAAGTGTAAACTGATTGTTTGTGATTAAATCGATATTCATTTGAATTTTTGTTATTCCAATTTTTAAGTACATCCTGAAAAGCGCAAGTTTCGTCATGTTGTTAACTTGTAACTTTCGATCTGTTGTAGAACCTTAGCGTATTGTTTATCATTTACTCGTTTATCTCCAATTACGTGTGTGTCATATTCATGAGATTTAAGATCGAAGAAAAACTAATCGAACCAATTTTCTGATCAAATAATTCTATTCGAATTGGTTATTACTCGTATTTAGATGGCATCATGCTTGCCTCTGTGTGTTAATTGTTATCATTGTAACTGAGCAAATTCAAAAATTATGATTAAATAAAAATGTTTTAGTTTGGCTATCAATCAATTTCATCGATACAATTTAATCATCAAAACATCTTTGATCATTAATAATATGATTTAATTTCCTTGAATAACAAATCAATGATCAATAATCAATTTGTATTAAAATTAGGCAACAATAAGGAATCAAATACAGTCTATTGTCGATGGCTCGAAGTGACAAATGAAAACGTTGGAGTTGATGTTGATGTTTGCACAGGTACCGATGTTAAAGTTGGAGCTAAAGTTGATACACAAGTCGATGTCAGCGTCGGTATCGAGGTTTGGGTTGATATCGACGATACTGAGACTGGTGTTAATAATGGTATGGTTGGTGCTAATGTAGATGACAGTTGAGTTGTTTGCTGTTGAGGTTGTTGTGATAATGTTGATTGTTGAGGTGATGTTGTGTTTAAAATATTTGATGAGTTTGTTTCAAATTGAGATTCACCAGTTTTGGGTACTGAACCAAGGGCGGATTTGTTTGCTTTGGCACTGAGCTGTGGTTTACCTGATAGATTTGTGACATTTGTGACATTATTAATTCTAGAAAAGTTTCCAATTGTAGTTGAAATGGAAGGAGTTTGTGTTATTGATGAAGGAGAAGGTGAAGATGAACAAGATTTCCTTTGAGTTTTATTTAAAATTCTTTTCGCTTTTGCTGCAGCTACTTGAACTTCATGAAGTCGCTCGAACTCCTCTTCAGTTCGATTTCGGTGAAGATAAATCCAAACTTTACGATTAACATCATATTTAACACATGGATCTTTCTCATAATGTAACCTATCCAAAGCTCCACTTACAATTGCATTAACTTGCTGCTCGGAAACAGTAGGCAATAAATATTGAGAGTCTTTCAACAGTTCACAAATATCGGCTCGAGTACCTTCACCATTGGGCAGTCGAGCTGCAGCATCTCTAACTAGACTTAGAAGTGTAACAAAAGGAGGTCTATCTTTCGTTAATAATGAATGTTCACGCGCTTTATTGGGACTAGCAGCGTGAGGTGCAGTTCCTCCGACCCCACAACCTTTGACTGGTCCAACGACACTAGTATAAGCATTAATAGTATCGAGTGACCGAAAATGAGTGAGTATCTCACGAACCTTAAGTTTTAGACCCATGTTTGATCAATGACGTTTAAAACTTTATTCTAGGACCTACCATTCTTAAGATACTCACTCATTTTCGGTCACCCGATATAAACCATGAAAAATTACATAGAGATAAAATGATTGCTAAGAGTCAGAGAAATAAACATTGAAGAAAAAATTAGTAGGACAATTACTTTATTGCGTAATTTCAATCGAATATTAATAAGCTTATAATTGAGTATAGAATAGACAAAGGAATACTATGTATTCATTTCAGAATTGAGTTCAGACGTCAATTTTATTGTCCCTAACCATTAGGACTTATCAGGGGCTAACAATCAATCATATTGATACGATCCATCCAGGGCTCTCTATGATCATTAACTTAATTTCTTTAAAATATCAAATCAATGTTCAATAATCAATTTGTATTAGGATTGTGCTACAATAAATCCAATTTAGTCTATAAATCCTGATTTAATATTTTCTTATTTAAAGATAGTTTAATTCCTCGATTTCTTCATCACTTACATTACATCTAAAATTGATGAAAATTTCTACTCCACGACCATGAGTTTCAATCATTTGAGAAGATTGAGAAGTTACCTGGTGACCTTTTACCTTTATGTTAAGTCTTTATTCAATCCACCAGAAAATGTGACTGATGAGACAATCAGATTGCTCGATCAACTTGATTGGTTTTCATTTGTATTTCTTAGTTCTCGACGAGGATTCTCACAGAAACTTGACCAACCGATATCATTCAAAACTCAATTGTTTCACAATTTATTTCGATTAATTTATTGTGTCGTTTTATTGAGAATCGTTAGCTTAATATTCATCAAAGATCATTTCTATCGGATGATTGCTGGTGATCTAAATATTGAGAATCACGATTATGTTTTATTTTTCTTGGCACTTTGGTTGACAATTTTACTTATACTTCGAGAATATGTACTTTATATTGAAGAACGAGGTGCTTACGTTTTACTTAAACGATATATCGTCATGCAAATAAATGGATTCTCAGTTGATCATTTGAGTTTCACGCAATCGAAAGTGACCATTAACAAATTCCGATTCTATTTGACAATGAAAATGTATACAGGACTGGTCAAATTCGCACATACAATCGTACCTATAGTTATCGTTCTTATTAGACTGAATGATCCTTCAACATTTTCGAGTTCACTTTCGCTCATTTCATCTTGTTTTTGGTGTTTTGCTGAGATTATAACGGTAACCATAATCGTATGTGGATTAGCAGTTAATGGAATAAATTTACTTATCATTGTTGTCACTAATTACTTTGATCTTATGAGCTTGATTAGATTGTGCTCATCATATTCCAAACATGGTGGGCAATTAAGTCGTGATTTCATGATTAAAACTCTAACCAAGCGAGCAACCAAATTTTCTAATGAATTTGTTAAACTGATCAGCCAATTCAGATACTGTACATTATTATTCATGATTTTCTGTGCATTTCTTTCTGATTTATTCATAATCATGAGCTTAATCATACCGATAATTTCAGATTCATTCTCTTATTTTCTTACAATCGATGCGTTTATTATGATGACAAACGTTAGTACGATTATGTTTTTAGCTGCAGATTTTCATTCAAAGGTAAATTCGAGAGATAACAAAAGAAATATTCAATAACTGACCTTTAGTTATCTAATTTAGGCCCAAAATCTTCATTTCGTTTTGACAAAACTTTTGATTCGCTCGAAAACTCGTATTGATACGAGTTTCAAGGTAAGACAACTAAGTGAATTAAGATTAATTTTGATAATTTACTATTATTGATTGAATTGGTTAGACGATGGTGCTACTTGATCGTCTCATGTACCCTGATATTTGTGTTGTTGTCGGTGATTGGTTCATATTTGAAAAACAAACCACAATTTTTGTGAGTAAATTTATGTTCAGAGTTCCTTGAATAGATTCATTAGAATATCTTTCTGTCTCGATTAAAGTTTATCCTCGAAAACGCAAGCATGATTATGCTCTTGGTCGTAAATCTCAATTCAGTTATGGCGAGGCAAGTAACAATTTGAATTGTCATTTCTATCACTCTCAAACTTTATTCAATTTTGCGAAACCCGAATTTGAACTCATGTATATTTTAAATTACATGTATTTATTTAATTTCAATGTAATATTTTCGAGAACAATAAATAACCAGAATATCAGAATTGAACCGCGTTTCTCAAATTCTGTATTCTGTATATTAAGTATATTTATGTGTTGCCTGTTTGGCTTGAAATGTAATAGTTAAAAGATGATATGAATTGTGACCATCATTTGATTGAAATGATGCTTATGTTATAATGTTACTGCTATTTCAATAACAATTAGTGTTGCCAGATAATTGTAATAGTGACATTGCCAATTTTCAATTGATTCGAGAGATATAAGGAACAGTGGAAACTTTTCAAGATTCGTGAAAGTTGATTAAAAAAATGATTTTACTCCATATTAACAATGATTAACATAATTTAAGGTTCACTTTCAAGGTACTTTTTTCGTTGCTCAGCTTTGCGTTGCAAACAATTAAGGTAATCAGGATTTGGATCCCATTGACATTTTTGACCCAATTTTGAACGCTTTCTTTGAAGACTCTTCGTCTGATTAGGATTAGGTTTAGGATTAAAAGGATTATAACTATTGAAGGTTACATCATTAGGTCCTGGTGGATTATTAATCACAGTCGAACCTGTAACTGGCTTTACATCGGGTATCGTTGATAATGGTGTGCATGTTGAGTAATCAGCTTGACAATCAAACTCGATTTCCCATTTAGTGTCCCACTGACAGCTACTAGATCGACGACGATTATTATCAAAAGTTAATCCATAACCATGATTAGCCGAATTTCTTTCATCGTAATAACCGAAAGGTGAATAAGGCTCAGCATCGATCACTTTGCAACCACAAGCTCGAGCAAAGTTACGACGAAATCCTTTCTTTTGTCGAACCTTCAGATGAGACCATTGAGCGATGAAATTACAAAGAGAAACGAAAGGTTTACCATCAACTATACGACCTAAAGATTGAAGAAAATAGAAAGAAATTAATTAACAACAATAATTAGATTAGAATATCAGTTTAGATTATTCGAAATGTTTATCACTATTAAAATCATTTCAACAGTGAATTGTCAAGCAATCAACATTTCCTTGTGATAGCAATTAAAATAAACTTGGTTAATAATCGTGAAATTGGCAAATTATCAATTCCTTTATCAAGTGATTAACTCAATTGTAAATTCATAAGCTAAAATCAAAAATCTTCAATTTGATATGGTAAATGCTTAATCAAAGTCAATTAAACTGATCATTGGTTTAATATATGAAACAATTTAAACAATTTAAATCAACTCATCATTAATGATAAAAGGATATTATAAATGATGACACAATCAGATTTAATTATTATCAAGTTAATCATTCAACTAAAATCCTATCAGGTTGACATAAAATGTTAAATCAACTCCAAGTTTCACTAATTGTGTTCACAAATTGTTACAACCTACGTTTTTTTAATTCAGTTCGCATTGAACAACAAATAGTAACAATGACATCAGTTGACTGAACCAATCAATCTCATGTTCAGCTGAACATTAAGTTATCATGAAATTCATATTCTTCATGTGAATCTTATAGAGTAAAAAATATTAATAGTAACATGATTAATGGGAAATAATCGTGTTTTAAATTTCATCTCATTTGTAACAATTAACAACACTTGAAACGAAATATAAATCATCAACTATTAATAAATTGCTCAGTGAAAAACTTTACAATTAGTTGTTTTAATTTGTTGGATTGAGATTCGTTTACTATTATCTTGAAAATGTTAAGAATTTAGTTGATTTAGTTTATAAACAATTAGTTGATAATAATTTACTCAGATTAATATCACAATGTAATCAACCCAACATCGATAATGGTTAGTTAATTGCGATCATATTACAATTTTTATTAGTTAATTGTCAATTGATGAGGGGTTAGAATGAGGAAAATTGTTTGATCAAGATTGATTACATTAATTATGATTAGTTGATTGCTCAAAATGATTTATAAACATTTGATATTTGAACTTTGCATTAAATTAATCATTTATTACGATTTAGTATTATTGTTACGGTTAATTGTGATTAGAAGTGATTTTGATGACAATTTATTAATTGTGTTGATACTTGTGTTCATTTGATCTGAAGATGATTAAGTAAATATTAATACACAACGTTAACTATTTGGGTAACACCAGAAGCAATTTATTAATATAATTTACAATTTATTTCAAATGTAAACTAATAAATCATCAGGATTAAAGTTAATTGCTTGATTTATTCAGTTTTAAATACGAAAAAATCAAGATTAAATTGTTAAGATTGTTGATATTTGAAGAAAAATCATCATAATTAAATTTGATTGATCCATTGAAATCATAGATATAATCAAGTAGAATCACTAATTGTCATAAACTAATCAGATAACATCATTTAGAAATTTATGTCATGAGTTAATTTAATTGCGATAATCAAGAATCAAAATGTCTCCTTTCTCGTCAAGAAAGTAATGATTTGTTAATTGTTTGGTTCAATCAAATTCTCGAGTAAACGAAAATCTTAATTTAATAGCAATCAAGTTAAATTATTTCTTAAACGTATATTATTACATAAACTCTGTGATCAACTAATTGTTGATTAGATGAAAATATGATTACAATTTAAGAATTTAATTCAATTGTAAATTGATATTTCATATATTATCTTTATTGTAATTGAAAAACTTAGTTGATTGTTGTTGGAAATTTAATTTCTTACATTTATTATTGTAACATATCAAGACTCATGTTATGATTCTTGTCTAATTAGTTAATTAGTGAGTTAATTAGCTGATTTATATTAGTAATTTTCATGTGAGTTGGAAGCTATTTCAGTATTAAGTCTAGCACATCAAGGATCAGTTTAAAGTGATAATTGTGATCAATTTGAAGCAATTAAGGATTAAGAGTTACTGATAATCAGATAGATTAAAAAATCACTTAATTTTCAATTAAAACTAAAAGTTCAGGTAATCAAGACTAATCAGAATAGTGGTTTTGTAATAACTAAATTAAGTCGATAATTTAAATTACTTAGAAATATTTTTTAACTCGATCAACTAAATTAAGTTAATTGCTGGGCGAGTAAACATTATCAAAAAAAAGTGAATTTTTTGATTAAGATGATTTTCAAGGTTGGTGATAATACTAATTGCTACTGATTGATTAACTTAATTGACCAAAACTAGAAGATGGAAAAACATGTTTCAAGGCAATTTAATTAACTAATCAACCTTGAACATAATCAAAGTAAAGTTAAATTGCTTGTCAAAGGTTGAACAATTAGTTAAATTTTTGATTATCAACAATTATTGACAATCAATTTATTTAATTGGTCAATTTAAGGTCAAAGTTGAAAGTCTATTAGTGGTAACAATTAGCAATTAATTGATTGTAAAGAAAACCGTTAAACAATCAATTAAGAAACTTATTGGCTAATCATCACTTATCATTAATGAATTATCATGATAATCAGAAAATATTATTAAATTGTAAATATTGATTATCTAGTATAAAAGTTAATTGTTACCTTGACATTTAAGATTTGATAACATTCAATTGATCAACTGTCAGAATCGAGACAAATCTAATGTTGTGAAAATCTTGATTATAATTACAATTATCTTAATTATCAACAAGTTGTCGATTGTATTTCTCAAGAAAAAAGCAATTAATCAGATTTTTACCTAAAGTATAATAATTAAAGGGGAAAATATGAAATTAGGTTGATATGATTCATATATTCAATGGCGTAATCATTAAGTAATGATAGTTTGCTGATTAACATAACAATTAACATTTCGATGATTTCATCTCAAACAAAACAATTTAACTGAAACTATTGGTGAGATAATTTAATTGTTTAGTCTTACCTGTCATTAGATATGTAACGTTTGGCGTAAATGTTGGTGCACATGAAGACAATTCTGTCCCTGTGTATATGAATCCTTTTCGAACTGCGGTTTTATCGATTCCTTTGAATATTTTGTTCACTTTTACTGGATATTTTAAGTAACCAGTTTGACCATCAGACTGACCATTAGTTAAGCGTTTGGGATCACCTTGAATCAAAAGGGTAACAACAAAGTCCGATGTGCAGAAATGCTCTTGAGGATGAGAGTAGAAACAAGAACAGGCGATTGATGATGATGGAAGTAAATAGAAACACCAAATAACCGCAACAATTAAGTAGAGAGGGTTAATCATGTTGATTGTGGGAGTTGATGATTGTTGATGATTGGCCATTTTTCTGTCACTCAATAGATTGATTAATTTAATTGTTCAAATTAACTGGTTGTATGGGGAAGAGAAAAGGAGAAAGAGAGAGAGAGAGAATATTAATTTTCCAGGATTCACAGTAAATCAAAGTGAGAAAATCAATTGATTCTGATTGTCTGTGGATAATTAACTTCTGTATTCATGTCTATTCATTTGTTGATTGTTTGGCAATAACAACACTTAATAGTATTAATAGAAAAAATTAACAGTTAAAAGATGATATAAATTGTGATTGAAATGATGATGATAATGTTTATGTTTCTATGTAATATTATCACTGTTGATATGATATATCAACATATGAAATCTAAAGGTAATAAAGGCTTAAAGGATTTCCTTTAATTAGTGTTTACCAGATGAAAATAATCATTTCAATTAAGGTAGCAAGTTTTACTCTCATGATTTGATACTGATGGTGGGTTAATAGGTAAGTGGGAACGGAATAATCAATTGGATTTACCTGTTTTTGTTTTCGTTGAATTAATGATGAGATGAGAAAAAGGAAATGAAGAGGAAAAAAATCAATGAGAATCAATGAAGAAACCGATTCACTTATATTGACCAATCCATAGTAATTGTTGATGATTCAATTAGCAGAGAAAAGGAGATTGTGATTATGGTGATTGTCACTATTGAAACATTGAAACAAGAAAACAATTCAAGATGTGATTGTGATTTAGAAACGTTTTGTTTACAATGATAAATGACGATCAGAATTGCCGGTGAAGAAACTGAACAGAAAGAAGTGTTTAGCAACAAACGAATGGTGAGAGAGGTGTGAGAGAGAGAGAGAGGGAAATACTCTTGACGATGATGATGATGATAAATAACGAAAGAACAGAAGAAAGAGAAGAGAAAATAAAGAAGATGATGATTCGGGTGAGTGATGTTAGAAGGTTGAGTTTGGAAGATGAGTGAGAATGAGAAGAAGATTGTTGATCAGAGCTTAGATTATATACTTACATCAGCTTTTTAAGAATTTGTTGTTGTTGTTCTGGAAGAAGATGATCAGTTGATTGTTTTAAAAGATTAAACATCCAAAACAAGAGAATCAAGAAAATGAATGTTCAATTAATCTTGTTCACACAATAGAAATTAATTTTCTTGTTTACATGTTACATAAACAAATGGAACAATTTGATTCTTGTCCCTGGTGAATAAAAGAGTAACCAATAGATAAGATTAACCGATTTATTGGTTGTTCGGTTTAACTTTTGACAGTTGGATTAGAGTTGATTATTGATTAATATGTGAGGCAACGAAATGTGAAGAGAAGTGAGAATCTTATTAACACCTAATTATCGGCAAGTTGATTAATTAGAATGATTCCTTTTTCGGTATCGATTTTATCTCGCATTTCTTTTCTCCTCAATGTTTGTGTAATTAATTGTGGATTAGGTGTAATTGTGTGTATACAAAACTCTTGATGATGATTAACTCTCGAAATGGGAAAATTTGTCTTCAAATAGATTAACAAATTGGTAATGTTCAATATCTAGTTGATGGTTGTATCTCCTCTCTCTCACTCGGTGTCTTAATTTGAAGATAGAGAGAGAGAGAGAGAGAGAGAGAGAGAGAGAGAGAGAGAGAGATCTTAAATATGTTGATACAATTTACTACGAAACCGAAGGTTAATTATATTACATGATTGTGTAGTTATTTGCTCTTTTCAACAGGAAGATCATGAGTATCATGTTTACAAGATCCTTCATCAGGAGTTAATTTAACCATTTAACTTTTAGAAATTGATTGAAGCTTCTGATTCGCCTTTTCCCCATGTGATTGGTATAATAATAATGATGATAATTCCTGAAGATAATGAGTTGAAAGATGTTCCATGAAAAAGAGAGATGAGAGAAGAAGAAGATAAGTTCAATATGCCAATCAACGTCGAAATTCAATTAAATTTGAATACAAGAATTTTTGAGAAGAAAATAAATTGACATATTCTATTTTTTTCCTTCCTTTTTCCTTGGTCTTTTGCCTATTGGATTCATTGGATTCCCATTCTCTTGGTCGGTTTGTTTATTATCCTGATTGTCAACAGTTAACAAATGCACCACGATTTCCATGTGTAATTAAAATAGGCCACGCTCATTGTGGTCAGGGTAAGATGAAGATTGAGAATCCATCAGAATTTCAAGATATCGTCTCGATAGTGGCTTGTGCGAAGACCTTTGTCACCAGCGAACCTTTCATAGACTCCAAATGTGATATTCACATTCAAAAGATTGGTGGCAATTACAAGGCTTTCATGTAAGTTGATTTTCTTGTCATCAGATTTTCATTCAATTGACCATGATAATTGAGGATCCACTTGTTGTTCAAACATCTTCATCTTGCTTTTAATTAAAACAATTTCTGATCCTCATTCCACTTCCTGATTTTTGTTGATGGCCCAAGTTAACCAAATCAAGAGCACTTTGTCCGGGACACTGAGTCTTTAGTTTCTGTAACGAATCCTTTAACATGGTCTTCAGGGTTGACAAAATTTGTCCTTCTTCCCAACAGCTTCTTGTTTGTCAAAATTGTTCCAAAATTAGTTGAATTAACTCTCGGCCTCTTAATTGGTCTTTTTCTTTTTGATTCCAATATGTTTATCTTTACATCTTGGTGACCTCTCGACTCTTATTCGGGTTGGTGGTGTTGATTTTGGAAAATCATTTCAGGCGAAAGTCCATATCGGGCAACTGGAAGGCTAATGTTGGATCATCCATGTTGGAACAATGTCCTGTCACCGAAAGGTACAAAAAATGGATCGATGAAGTGTCCGAGGTTTTCAATGGACTGGACATTGTCACAGTTGAAGCGGTTCTGGCCAAAGATGGACAAGAATACATTTATGAGGTGACTGGTTCTCAGATGATTCTGATGGGGGAAACACAGGAAGAGGATCGACGAATCATATCAGAATTAGTTACCAGTAAAATGCAACATTTTTGTGGTCGACCTGTAATCACGTAAGTTAATTAAAAACAAAAGATTCTATTAATAATTGTAAACATAAATTATGTTACATAATCTTTTAAGAAAATTTAAAATTTAGAATTTAAAATTAAATAAAGTTTCGAAGGTGTCACCACCTCTTGGCAGAATAATTAGATGCAGAAAAATTCGTTTAAAATTTAGATTTGTTTTGTTTCACTCGACCAGTTAATTTGATTGTTTCGTTTATAATTAGTGTTTAAATTGTTGCCTATTTCTCAAATTTTTTCTTTGTATCTTGTTAATTGTTCATCTCTCGAGAATCCATGGGTTGTAAGTATGAAGTGATTGGGTTTCAGTTTTGTAGGAATCGGAAAATTTTTCACTTGTGACAATAAACCGAGACTATAAAAGGGTAATGATTGATTGATTTAATTACTTTAATGACCATTGATTTGATTGAGCATAAATTAAGATCACTGATTCACCTTTTTAATTGTATTCAGTTTCGAGCCGATGTTTTTATGCATGAAAAATAAACAAGATTTTCTTGGATTTTTCTTGCAAATTTAAGCTTTTTTTATCCGATTCTCCACAATTACTACATTTAATTAGTCGTTTATTTAATTAGCCGAATCTTTTTCTATGCCAGTTAATTCATTACAATAGTAATAATAATATCGGGTAATTGTGCAAATATAATTACTGTTGTGTAATCTCAAGAAATCAAGGTAACTCACTCTTAAGAAATCCTCTTGAAGCAACAGTCTTTATGGTTCTTATGATGAGTTGGTCATCATCTGGATTCAATTTAACCATCTAAACATAAACCGAGAAGATAAATTGATTATTTAAATTCTCTTAACTGTTGATGAACCAAATTCCATATAAATTTCAATAAGATACTATATGCATTCATACTGAAAGAACTCTAATGTTAATTGGTTGAGTTTAATTTTTCTTTGCTCTTTTTCCCCTAATATTTAGTAAACAATTATCTCGATCAAGTATAACAACATCATCGACTACTGGATATTCATCAGATGATCCAAATGCTGGACCGACTTATGGACATCGACCAAATCAAAACACGGCAACCGGAGCTCCTAGAAGAGGATCACAAACCTCAATTGGATCAGCAAGTGATCTTGGAAACGCTGGATCATCAACCGCCGGAGGCTCTTCGATAGTTAATGAGTCGAGTGGTCCAACTTCAAGTCTTGGACAAACAACCCAGCAGATAAAAGGCCTTTTCCGTCGAGCGTCGATCTCAACTGACGATAGTAATCAACCAACGGGAACTAAATCAGAAGATCCTGATGATACAATGAAGAATTTACGAAAAACTTTTGCTGGAATTTTCGGTGACATGTAACGAAAAAGTGAATCTCAATTGATTTTCACCGATTCAATTTCTCTATCGTTTTGATCTCGACTCCCGTTTTCTTTGGTTTTCCATGTTGATGCTGATTTTTCATACTCTTCTGTTCATGGGTTGTTGCTGTTTCAACTGTCCATCAATCTCCTTGCCCCTGCCCCCGAATACCATGTTTCACGGAATTTCTATCTCATGAAAATTTCCTGAACTGATTAGTTGAACAAAAAAGTTTTCCAAATCAAAAGTAGTTGAAATAATTTCGTTTGAAACAAAATTGCAGTTGAACTTGAAGTTCATACACGTTGACCCTTTCGCTTCACTGATCTCCATTTAAAGGAATAGCTGTTAACTAATTTAGAGTGAATTTATATAACTGTAAACAAAAGTAATATAATCAGTACCAGATTAATGAATTAATATTCATCTACACTCACATACCCATTTCCAAGCGGAAGTCGGATTGTCACATGAAAGATTTTCGCCCGTTTCTCAAACGCGAATCAAGCCTTTACCTGTTACCATTATGACAATTTAAATTTAGTGTTTTAATCCGGTTGTAAATTGTTTAATCCTCTTCTCCTGATCGATGGTGATGTTTACCTTTCCATTTGATTGATTCCAACAAAGCAGACACTTGAATCAATGGATAATTGGATTAAATGAGTTGATAATTAGAAACATTTTTTCCTCTGTTAACACTTAATGATGGTTGTGTGTTGATTTCTTATCAAATCAATAAAGAGAAATGGTTTAATTATCACAATTAGGAGGATGAAGAGTAACAAAAAGTACATAGAGCCAATCGTTTCAATCTTATAATTTAACTTTCTTTTCCTGCCGAGTCTTAACTACCAAATAATCATCTGATTGTGATGATTTACCTCAATAATTTACCAATTTAAAAGGATCACCTAATGTTTTGAATCAGTTAATCTTAATCCTGTTGTGTCCACTGGTGAACCTTTTGGTCAGTTTATGCATTTATAACGAATGGACTTTAAATCAATATTTATGATCTCGCATAAGTCAATGGCTCAATTAAGTTCCAATCAAATCATCCTAATTATTAATCAATCAACAGTATCACCATTTTCAACTGATTAACAATCAATTATCAATTCACTTGAAACTTGTTGATTATGGTTTCAATTAGGTTCTCACACCTAATGTAACAATTTCGTTCCTCAGGATAACAATCTAGTCTCTTAAATCCACTACAATTAATTTATGTTGACAATCTAATGATCAAAAAAAAAAAGATTGATTATAATAATTGGATGAAAGAAACAACTAAATTCAAAAGGATCGAAGCAATTAACTAATTGTTGTGTCAAGAGTATAAACAAAGAAATGCAATTACTGTAAATGAAAGAAATAAGAAAGATTAATCAATTTCTTAACTAAATTGTATTAATAGATCATCTTAATTTTCAGACTAATTATCAATCTCATGTCAATTGTGATTGAATTAATTTAGTAATCAACTTCCTCTCTTTCTCTCTCTCTCCTATTTGTTTTTGATAATCAACAATCAAATAACTAAATTGCTTCATCCTACTAGTTAATTGTTAATTCTCAATTTTTCGTTAACTCAATCCCATATCATCACAATCCAAATTAATTTCCAACTAACCTTCACCCAATTAGACTAATTAAAAAAGGTCCTTGACAAATTGTAAAAGACCAATTAAAGTAATTAACTAATTACAACATAGAAATTGAAAAAAAAACTGGAAAAATATCAATATTGTTAAATTGTTGTTTTTGGTTGATAAAATGCTTATCTGTGTTCATGTTTGATTAATATTAACAATTAAATAATATGTTGAGATATTAAATTGAAAGCCAATAATCAAAATTGATTATATCAAATAAATGATTAATTTGGTTTAAAACAAATGATTTAAGCAATAAAATTAGGATTTCCTTTGAAATTAAAACTGTGTCCATGTTTTTTTTATTGTACTTGGATAAAATTAATTAAGTTAACCAGTAATCATCTAAATTGCTGACGATAATCACTAATCATTTTCAAATGAAAATTTACAATTGAATTTAGTTGCATTGGAAAACAAGAGATGGCAGTGTAATCACTTTAATTTGGTTGAAAAAGTTTAAATTAACTTTCAATTGATTGTTGTCTCTATCATGAAATTGATTGTTGTTAGAAATTCATTGAGTAATCAATTAATTAAACCATTACAACAGTAGAACTTGTAATTAAAACAAATAACGTTAGTAAATTAAATTAACGAGAAAAGTTTGCAACTATTGAAAAACAGCTGAATAGACAATTAACACTTAAGCAAACCGAAAGGAAAGTTGATTGATTTAAGTGAATTAACTGAACAATTAACAGGGTAAACTTTTACTACCTCGGAATCGGAAGAAGATCAGTTATCATATGAGGCCTTAGAACGAGATGAAAAGTAACCATTTTCTTTTTCGTCGATTGAAATTATTTCAAGAATATGAAATTCTAGTTGGAAAAACATGGTAACCTAATTCACCGTGGAAAGAAAAGAAGATGAAAATGAGAATGAAGACAAAAAAGACAGAGAAAAGCGAAAGAGAGTAAATTTAGCTACAGGGTGAATCTAATGTTCGTCAGTTCAATTCCGAAGGAAATTCATTTGATCAGGCGTACAGATTATTATATGAGTTCTTATTGTTATTTGAATGCGCATGGAGATGATGATAAACAGACAGAGAAAATGAAAGAGAAAGATGATGATGATGATGATGATGGAGATAAAGTTCTGTAAGATGAAAGAGAGAAAGAAAGAGAAATTTTTTGTTACCTTCTCTTTCTCGACTAATAAACGAATATTTTTTACTCATTCTTACTCCCACTTCGATTCCTGTGGGTTACCCTGTATTCAGTTATCATCATCTCCCTGAAAATGACTCACTCGTCATCTTCATCATCACCAATTGAGTTAACAGTTTTCATATGGAACAGAATCATTGGAAACCGAAAGAAAAACAAAAACAAACAATTATGTTGATAATCAGTTGATTGTCTTTTTTTGATCAACAATTAAACTCGTTGCAAAATGTTAACTATTGTTGTCAATTGTTTCCTTTTAAATTTTGTTCACTGACAACAATTAACTTTGATTGTTAATCAATTTTCTAACATGTTACTTTTTTCCCCGAATGTTATTTGCTGATTTGCTTTTTTTCGTTGATTGTGATTTCTGTTAATTGTGATAGTTAATTGAATTAACTTACTAATTGTGATTATTTCATTTTCTTTTCTAGTGCCTAATTATTATTCTAAATTTTTAATCAGTGTAATTAACTTATTGTGATATTAATTGGAGATCATCGTAATTGATTAGTTTTATTGGTTATTTTCTTTTTAATTGTTATCGTATTCATTTCTATTAATGATGCTACAATTAAAAGTTAATTTGTGTTTACAGTTAAAGTGAATGTGAATCGATCTAAACAATTATGTTTAAATTGTGACTTGTATTCAATTCAATTGGATTAATTTGATGTTCCAATCATATTTTTCTCCAGTTAATTGTGAACATTTTTTTGTGCTTTTCAATTTGAATCATTGAGCAATTTGAGTTAATTATTAATAAGTTTTTCCAATGGATTGTAATTGACAATTCTCTGATATGAGAGATTAAATTTTGAATCAGAATTAATTGTAATTCTATCAGAAAAAAATGTCATATGCTCTTAGAGCTGGAACCAGTGATAGATCAACTGATTTAGCAGCGGATCCAGGGTCAGTTGGTGTTGGTCAAACATCAATCGGACTTTCAATCGAGGCCGGTTTTCAATCGGCTCATCATTCACCTCTTCACAATGGACTGGCCACCGGAGTTTATCATCGTCCATCCCGATCCATAGGAGGACCAATGGTCAACAATTGTTTCAACATTAATCCGAAACAGTCAAAATCCATATTACCAACATCAACACCGATCGTAAATGGTTCAACAACAATCGGTTTAATTAGTCCAGAATCTTCATCGGTGATCAAATCTCGAGCACTTAATCGTCGAGTTTTATTAAATGTCGGTGGTATTAAGCACGAAGTGTTATGGAGAACCTTGGAGCGGCTTCCACATACTCGATTAGGTCGACTTCGTGAGTGTACAAACCACGAATCCATCATGGAGCTTTGTGACGATTATAACCTAATCGATAATGAATATTTCTTTGATCGACATCCTCGTTCTTTCTCAGCTGTTCTTAACTTCTATCGAACCGGTAAACTGCATCTCATCGAAGAAATGTGTGTCATGGCCTTTAGCGAGGATCTCGATTATTGGGGTGTTGATGAACTTTATTTGGAATCATGTTGTCAGTATAAATATCACCAAAGAAAGGAACATGTTTATGAAGAGATGAGGAAAGAAGCTGAATCTCTGAGGCAAAGAGATGAGGAACATTTTGGAAATGGTAAATTAGCTAAATATCAAAAATTCTTCTGGGACATTATGGAGAAACCGCAATCATCCATTAGTTCAAGGGTAAGATGATTAATCCAAACAATTAACGTCCAAATTGAACATTTGGCGCCAATTGAATAGAGAGAAACAAAAATTATATTCTATTGACGAACCTGTTGACATGTTACAACAGAATTCAAATAGACTTTTACATATCAAGGTTAGAATTTGGAACTTTTTCTTCTTAGAAAAGTTCTACTTCGTCGACTCATAACAGTTAAGAAAATGAAAATGATTAATTTTGTTTGTCGGTCGAATATTCAAATTTCTCTAATGAATTTGATTGTGACGATTTGTTGATGAAGAGAAATCAGTTCGAGAATATCAAATATTAAAGAGAAAATATTTTCTCTTCCTTGGAAATTTTTCCCTCAATCTTTTGCTCTTTTTTGCCTCTTTTTTAAATATTTTCATCTTCTTCCTCATCACCATCATCATCATCATCGCCATCAAAAGCATCTTTTTTACATGATGATGATAAACACAGTTTGGCATCTCAATGTTAACCAATTGCCAGAGGAAATGGTGATAATGTTGCTGGGGTTTCCTTTTCATCCTCATCTTCATCCTCTAAGAGATGCTAAATTTAAGGACCTCAACGATTCTTTAAATAGATTAGCATATTTTTTAGTCTAATCCAGTTAAGTTAATTGTAGACACTCAGCAAACAACAACAACAACAACATTAAATACTTAATTCATAACAATTTAAATTAACAGTAAACACATTTGTTGATCATGATCAACAATGATAGACGATACATTGAATCAGGTTTGAATCTAATTGTCTATCACTTACTTGACATAATAGTAATTAACAATTGATCAATTCATATGATATTTACATAACCCTGATTAGTTAATTATTTCTCGAGTATCAAATATGACGAACTTGATTGTGTCAATAATTGTCACCAATCAACTTTGGTAAATAATTAACTTTAGATACAGAGGGAAAAAAGAGTTAATTGCTCAAGGTTAATTGTTGGTAAAAATAAATAATATGCTGATTGACATTCGTTTTCCTATCAATAATTATTGCTAAAATTAAGTTAATTCATTGAGAAAGGTTATTAGAGTAATTAAGCAAAATTAACAATCGAAAGTATTAAATTTTATCAACTGAAATTAAATCAATATTGGAAAATAGCTCATCCCATTTTTGATGATTAGTAAATTGTTGTATATTAACAACAAGGAATTTGTTCAATCCGTCAAACAATTAGAATCAATTAATCATTTGCAAAGATAATCAATGATTTTCTAACAATTAAGGTTTAATGAACTACTATTTTAGTGACTGAAATAGTAGTTGATGAAAAAATCTTATTGATTGATCAAATTAATCGATAAAATTGTAATAACAATCAACTGGATTAACATGTGAATGTTGATATGGTTTAACAATCAATGGATTAAATATATTAGATTGAATTGATTATGATAATGTTGAGATTATTTGATAAAAAAACAATAAGAGATTAGGAAAGAGAAGGAAAAAAACGGATAATAAAGATGAAGATAAAGGGATGAGGATAAAAAAGTAACCAGATAATGTTGATTAATGTTATCATGTGAATGAGAAAAGTTCTGAGAGAACGAAAAATAAAAGGGAATCGAGTTTGTACCATCATTATTATCATTGTTATCGCAAGTCTTTCACAGGGAATGTTGAATTCCCGTTAGATCGATATGTTGTATGATCTTTAAATCGATTTTCTGGTTTACCCTGACAAACTTTTCCATCGAAAGTTGTTATTATTTCAACAAGCGATTTATCTTCTTCTTTATCATCAGTATAATATCATCTTCTTCCTTCAGATCAGAATCTTATCCTCCCACTCCACCCATTTTATCATCTCTTGTAATAGTCTTTGTCTTTACCAGAGATCCAATTGCTAAATCGAAACTTTAAAATGGCGAATTTAGGTTTTCCATGGTTCATTTATGGATTAATTATCTATGTTGAGCTATTAATTAATTCCTAACAATCAAGAGATCGTCAGGTTAATCATTCAAATCTAATGATAAGCTGTAAGTTTGTTTAAATTGTATCGAGTTACATTTAGTAAACTGATCAATTTTGTTTGTTTTTCATTCAAAAAAATGTCACAATAATTTTGATCGTGACAATTTGGTTCGTGTCAACAGAATCTGAACGAAATTTCATCATTTTGATCATTAATTAAAGCTAATAGATCGAAGCTTTTTCCTTGCCTGTTAATGAATTGAAATTCTGTCTCTTTGGAATCATTGAAATAGTCATGAGAAAATTTCAATTTCTAATCAAAAACAGCAATTAAATATTTTCTTAATTCTCTAATTCTGAACAATCAGATTACTTTTGATAGTTTTTCAAGGTACTAAAAGTAATTGATGTTCTGGTGGACATCGAATGGACAAAAAGATAACAAATTCGAGACTCGATTTTCATTATCAACTGTAATTAGCAATTCGATTCCAAGTAGTCGAATTCAAATTGAGTGGAAACAATTATCTGAATAAACAATTAACTTTTTCAGTAAGAGTTAATTATTGGGAATACAGAATGAAAAAAAAACTAAAAGTCACCAAAATAAACATTAAGTGAAAATCAGAATTATCTGTTATTTAAAGTTATCAATTAATGGATGAACAACAGTCAGAACTGAGTATCATGTATCTCATGGGAATGGCAATAGTTCAACAATTTAACTGAATTTAAATTGTGCTGATTCAAGTTGATTGTTGACACGAAAATATTAACATTTCCAACATGAGAGGAAACTTGACTTTCTCAACCTGAAAAGGTTACACACTAATTCCCATTCGATATTTAATTAACTTACTTTCTCCAAGTGAATAGGCAATTAATTAAGTTAATCGAATAGAATAATTTAAATTGTATTAGTATCTGATATTTAAAAGAAAACAAGTAATAAAACATTGAAAGAAAGAGAAACATTTTATTACTTCATTTGAATAGTTTGTCAACCGAGTAAAGGATTAGATAAGCAATCAGCTGATTCTAATCTTTATGTAACCTCAATGTTATCATTTAGAATTAAACTAATTACTTTTAACTAATTGGCTTTAATTGTTTATGTTCATTTTCAGTTATAATCTAATCAGAGTCATCTCATAATCTTCTAGTTGTTGATCATCTTTCAAGGAGCATTATTGTTGCTTCATCATTTTTAGTTCTATTTTTTTCTAGTTCATCTTTTACTCTCCATCTCTTTAGTTATTCCGCATCTTTATCTTCATCTTTCATGCTCTTATTCATTTTCTTTACTCCATCATACTAATCATCTTCATCTTCATCTTCATTTTCATCTGGAAAACATTTCTATCTCTCTCTCTCCTCATCACTTACACTCTTTCAAGATGTCACTTTCTTACCTTACATCAACTTTTCATCTTCTCTTTCATTTCAACTTTTTCCTCTCTCTCAGCTCAGTCTCAGTTTATCATCAACACCATGAAGATGATGAGGATCATGATGATCAACATAATCATCATTATCTTCACCCTCCTACTCTCTCCATCTCTTTCATCATATTTCTGCCTTTTACATTTTCTTCAAGATTCTGACAGAATCGTAAGTTTTATCCTCAGTTGCTTGTTTAGCTTAATTCTTAATCAAAGTATAAGATAATTTATTGATTGTTCGCTAACTAGAACTTGAGAAATTGTCAAATTTAATAGGAAATATTGGTGATTAGCAAAATTTGCATCTCAATGTTTCTTTCAAATAAATTGTCATCAATTCCTTTGGGAATATAACTGAATATTATTATCATCATGAAAACGATACAATTTAAACATTGATACAAACCATCAATTAACAAGATACAAATGTATAATATTAACTATCAATGAAATTAAAGTTGTTACAATTTGTGTCCTTTTCTGATCATTTAGTTGGTTGATTGATGATATCAATTGTTACGACATATAAACAATCAATTCTAGTTGTAATCATGTTGACAAATCATTAGAAATGTAATAAAGACGTAATGTTAAGATGAGAAAAGGAAATCAACTAATCAATCAAAGATAAAAAAAAAGTTAATTCGTACACTAATTTAATCAACCTAATCAACAACTTATCACATTTAATGAAGCAAATTAATACCCAAAGTGTTTCGATGAGACGATTTGCAATTAAAGGAAAAGTTTATTAAGTTAGTCGACACTTTAATCATATCGATTGTGAAGATTAAAGATACAAAATGGACAATTAATCGCAACAATCAAGTCGATTGCACTTTTTGAAAAGCAAACAAACATTAATCATTTTCTTAGTTGCTGATTGAATACAAGAAGTAAAAAAGTGTAAATGTAAACTTTTCTTTCCCAATTGATTAACTAATTGTTTACTTTTCTTCTCCCACTTCTTTTCCTGATTACCTGATAATTGATTTTCGATGATTAACCATTTAGGTTGTCGCCATTGTCTCAATTTTGTTCATAGTTTTGTCGACAATTGCGTTGACATTAAACACGATTCCTTCCTTACAAGAACGTGATTCGAGTAATAAACCAAGCGGAGAGAACAGTCGACTAGCCGTTATTGAGGCCATTTGTATCGCCTGGTTCACCCTCGAATATGCCTTGAGATTTATCTGTTCACCTAATAAGTGGAAATTTTTTAAATCTTATTTAAATATAATTGATCTTCTTGCAATCCTCCCTTTCTATGTAAGCCTTGTGATCGAACGGAACAACCATTCGGAAGACTTTGCTGATGTCCGTCGTTTGGTACAAATTTTTCGAATCATGAGAATTCTTCGTATATTGAAACTCGCTCGTCACTCCACTGGCCTTCAATCACTTGGATTCACTCTTCGAAATTCCTACAAAGAGTTGGGTCTTCTGATGCTTTTCCTCGCCATTGGAATAATGATCTTCTCATCGTTAGTTTATTTTGCCGAAAAAGATACAAATGAAGCTTTCACCTCAATCCCGGAGGCCTTTTGGTGGGCATCGATTACCATGACAACCGTAGGTTATGGTGACATTTATCCAGTCACCACAGCGGGTAAAATTGTCGGTGGGGTTTGTTGTATTTGTGGTGTTCTTGTTGTTGCTCTACCCATTCCCATTATTGTGAACAATTTTGCCGAGTTTTATAAGAATCAAATGAGAAGAGAAAAAGCTTTGAAACGTAAGGAAGCTCTCGAAAGGGCCAAACGGGAAGGGTCAATTGTCGCTTTTCCCCATGTCAATTTACGTGATGCCTTCGCTAAATCAATGGACATTATTGATGTTCTCGTTGAATCTGGACAGACACAAACGCAACAGGTAAGTTAACACAAGTTGTCCCAATGTCGTTGAACCGAAAGTGAATAATCAACGTTAATTACGATTATAATTGATTAGTATAAGTCACTTTACTATTGTTACTGTATTTAGATTATAATATAATTAGATATCGATCAACGTTTCAAAAAATAACTGTATTACTTTCACCAAGTAATTTTAGTTGATTAGTTGAAATCGATTCGGATAATAATCTAATAGTAAACAATAATAACCATAATCACTTGAGAAACGATGATCGATCATAAATTAACAAGTATTACCTTACAATTAACTGTTGACAATTGATTTTAAGCTTGTTTGTTATTATCAATAAGCAAATGAAAGATGTTAACAAAGTAAATCAGATCAATTGATTTATTAGCAATCAAATTAACCTTCAACTTTATCAGGGATGAGGAAAAAGTTATTCAACTTTCAATGGTGAAAATTTAATTTTCAGCTCAAAGTCATCAGAATTTGTTTAACAATAAAATCAATTGATTAACAGAAAAATATGATTGAATGAATTTCCATGAATTGAGATTGACACTTGAATAGATTTCAATTCATGGATGAACAGAATTCAATCCAATAAGATTATCGATTTCAACATTTGTCACAACAATCAAATTAAATCTGAATCAAGTTAAAATCCAATTGGATTAACATTTCAAAAGGTTGTTTTTGATTTAGTAATTTATATTAATCGTTAAATCAACAATTGATTAAATTGTTTCTAAGTGTTGATATTTAGCTGCCTTTATTTTACTTAATCATCATTTTGTTGCTAATTTGATTCTCTGTTGATTTGATTGTTCATTTTATATTTTTAAAAGTATCAAGAAAGTTTAAACATTTACATAATTAAATTTTTCTGAATGTGAAATCTTAGATTGTGAGGTTAATTGAATCAAGTGAAAGTTGATTAACTTTGTGATACACTTTGAAATTGAATTGTTCTTGGCTGCGGTTGATATAATTCACTTGATCATCATCCAGAATCAAGAGTGGGTTTTAAACATGATGTTGATTAATTATATTCAAGAAACAATATACGAAGTTAATTGTTAAAGAAGATTGTAAATCGTACAAAATGGGTGATACAATTAATAGAATCCAGTCAATTAAAGTTAGAAAACGGAGGAGAAATCAAATTTTTATCGCATATCCGATACTCGCAGCGTCGTAAGCGCTCATTGGTCTATCACGATCACAAAGGTCATCCCAATGACCTTGAACTTCAATATTATTCTTATCATTGATATCCATGCATAAGATGATGGTCAATACCTTATCAAGAATATGGGCCAAATTTTAATCAACTTTTTTTTTGTTAATTTCCAAATAAACTAATCACTTTCTCGAGATTAAATTGTGCTCTAGGTGTTAATTCAGCTGAAGTTTACTGACAATCTATTTGTAAATTGAAAATATCGAGTATCAATCAGTGGTTATTAGATTTGCGATCAATTGATTTGAATCCTAATAAACTAACGATAATTATACTTAGGGTGATAATAAACTGTCCACGGTAATAACCAGAAACAATTAATAGTCTTTTGCCATTTAGATAATTATCTCATATTGAATTATGTTCAATTGTCAAACTGAATCAATAATCCGTCTAGACGTAAACCAGATGACGATAAAATTAATCTGATTACCCTGAATACCCTGAGCTTGAAACGATAATGGTGGAAATAATGAATAATTTAAATAATCTGGTTAAACAATAAAAATAATTACGATCAATTGATTATTCAGATGATAGGAAAAAGGTTGATAATTAATCATGAGAGATTTGAGAGATTAATTCATTTTCTCATTTTGATTTTAGGAAATTTGATTCAGTTGATTGATTATAAACTCGTCGAAATTTGAATCATGATATATTAATAATTATCTCAAGAGGAGTGAACAAAGGGTGGAGTGGGAAGAGGAAGTCGAGGAAATATTTTATCGGCAAATGATCAACAGGCAAGTTTGAATATCATGTTGTTGTTATGGTGAAACTGTGACATGCTCAGGGAAGCAAATTAAATCAATAATAATCGATTCGAGGAATTGGTGTGGAGGGTTTTTTCCTCTTCCTCCTCCTCGGAGGATATAAAACCATTACTATTATCATTTTCATCATCAGAATGATGATAATGATGATGGTTATAGCAAATTCCAGGTCATTGCAGAGTAAAATCAATATGTAACTTGAGGTCATGGATATAAGCTTGAAATGTATTGAATAAAAGGCGAGTATTAATCAACTGATTTAGTTAATGATGATTATCGGTTATGCGATTAAGGAAAAGTTATTAGCTCTCTTAATTGTGTTAATATTTTTTTTACGATAAATTATTAGGTAATAATATTTACCCATAGAAATAAAAACTTACTTGATCAGTGGGAATTTCTTATTATCAACATATTGTCATGAAATTAATTCTGTGACAATGAATTAATAAAATGATAACAATCAAAGATTAACCATATTGATAGATTATTGATCTGATTAGAAAGTTTTGGTTTTCTCTCTCAGTTCAATTTTAAATAACGAATAAAATGTTTGATAATAATATTATCGAATTGTAAAAATGACCTTTGTAATATGAAACGAAAATGGTGAAAATATTATTGATGAATCGGAGAAATTGAATAGATGGAAAGATTCTGTGATATTATTTCATGATGAGAAGATAATTCTGATTCATTGGAGATGAATTCAACTATTAACTTGATATGATCACTTCAACAATCAACTGATTAGGTCAATTCATCGATCCAAAACATATACTCAGACACACTAGGAGGTGAAACGATGTATTGAGTTAATTTGTAGTTGAAAGATTATTGATTTTTCGAGATGATTAAATTGAGTTTACTTGCGATGAACAACAATTTGCACATTCACCTTGTCAACCTTGAATACAATCAATGTGACCTTTGGTTGAAGAGGATTCAGCTGAATGAAATTTATGAATAAATACCTCGAGTTTGAAAAGTTCATTTAATAATAAATAACATGGATTAGAACTTTTTTTATCATGTCAAGTTGACATGGAAAACTTTTGGTGATATGAATCAGTTAAGAATAATGATTTCCTTATTCACTTGAACTTTATCTGCTGTTTGCTCAGCTTGGCTTAAGACGATGAATCAAGTTGAGAAAAAAAGTTCATCAGAATTCAGAGTTACCCTGATATCACATTTTTCAACTTTTTGTTTACATTTGATTGAAAAACTATGCTATATGAATATCCGACAAGAGGAAGAGTATATGAAAGTTTTTTCCAGTTCCATTTTCATGATAAACTCATAAAGGAACAACAGTTGAATAATCTGAGGAAATGAATTCAGTGAACAAGTTGCTTAGTTTATCAACACTTGGAACGCTCAAAGTGAAATCAATTGGTTCTCATGAAGATCAATGATTAATTCTGATATTCCTGAAGATAATAAACAATAAACGACTACCATGTGAAGGGAAATGCTCAAGTCTTCAATGATTATAATGAAAATTTTGGTCACTATTAAGTTAATTGTAGTCTCTTTGGTATAAAGGTTATAATGGTTAAAGGGAAAAAGGTTGAATTGTATTCATTTCCATGCTAATTTGTTGATCATTATACTCAAAGGAAAACAGTTCCTATTAACTGAACAGTAACGATTCCTGGATCATTGATCTTTTCATTGTCAATTGTCAATATACTAATTGTATCTATTACACTTAATGTAGAGAAATGAATTGAAAACCATTTAATTCAGAGTAAATTGTTGACTTCTGGTCAGTTTTTATCAGCCTATTAAATGATTTTTCCCTGTCTACAACTGACCATTCAGACTATTGATTTTTTCCTCATTCGCAAATCAAATTGATTATATCGATTCAATAGTAACACTTTTATTTTCACTCGAATCTCAGTGACAAAATATAATCCTAGAAATGAAAAACAAACAGAAATCATCTCGATTATGATTCAATGTACTTTCATAGTGATATTGACCACAGGTCAATATCATTGATCTGGCAAATCCAATCAAGTTTTACTTCAATAATTACCTTTCATTTGGTAGATTTCGATGAATATGATTGCAATAGCCATTTAGAGATAATTTTCAAGCCTTAAATCAATCAAAGATTAGACCAAAATCAATTTAAGTGAAAACTAATTAACCAGAAAAAAACCAAATTCAATTTTTAAACTAACCGAAAGTTACAATTAGCAAGTGGCTCCACCTTTTGTTTCCAAATAGAAAATCTCGATTTTGATTGTAAATTTTAAATGAAAATTAACAATCAAATTGATCACTTATCGTAAAGTTTTAATGGTGATTGGTTTTCTTGCCATATTCGAGAAGGAAAAAACGTCGAATCTAAATGAATTAGTGTAACGATTAAAACGATTGTAATTGTAATGATGATGATGATTAATAGAGACTGTTGATTGATTGATTGTTAGTTATTCTTGTGAGTTGTAATCAAGAGACTCAATGATTGTGAAGATAAAGATAATCGTAAAGATTGGGAGAGAGAGAGAGAAAAGATGAAAAAAATAAAAATCGATCCAATGGTAAAACATGAAGGGAAATAAATTGCTGGTTCGACTATTTTTTTTCTCCAATCTCAACAATCCATAAATTGTTGATCGACAATCAGTTGCAAGTGATTTAGTGGTAGTAATGAAAATGATGAAGATGAAAAGGAAAAAAAGATGATGAAGATATCAGAATGATCTTCCAAATAATATGATAATGATTCTGATAAAATATCATCTCCATGTTTAAGGGTAAAGGTTACCATGAATCTGAGAAGGATAAGATTTATGATTATCGTTCTGTAGTATTAATAATCTGAACATTAGTCATGAACCCAGGGAGAGAAAAAATTTCAGAACTTGAATCAGAATAAAATTATTATCATATTATTCTGATTATTATCTCATAAATGATACAAAGTTTTTTTTATTTCGAGATGAGTGATAAACTTTTTTCCCAAATAATTCAAACTGTTCATCGATTGATGATCAATAATTTTGAAACAATGTCAATATCGCTTTTAGGATAACTGATAACTTTTCGACAAAATTTCCGATACTAATTGAATTTTCTTGTTAATTGTTGGTGATTAGGACACTGCAAGTATCGGAGGTGATTCGATTAGATTTACATCGACTGGCGTTGGTTGTTTTCGCAGTTATGACCATACGATGTCGAGTGGTCATCAAGCTCAATTAAATCGTGACAAGTTGCGTCTCTCTCATCAGTACCACCAACAAGTCCAAGTCCAAAGTGAGAAAGTGAACCAGAATCCGAATTCAAATGTCAATCAGATTCGGGAAACTGGTGATCGTAACTTAATGGACCTCGAACCAGCACCTCGATCTGCCAATACGAATCACAATGTCAATGATAATGTAATCACTTCGAGTATCAATAATAATAATAATGCTTGTGACAAATTCATGACTAGTGATTCAATGGATGGTGTCATTGGGCTGGTTGGACCTTCATCTTCATCATCATGTTTACCAAAAGCCTTATCAATCATGCAACCGGAAACAAGTTCTGGTGCTCAATCATCATCAGCTGTAAGTAACAATCAAAATTGTGATCAAAGTAATAGTGATAATGATGAATCAATTTTATCATCGTCTTCTCAACACCATCAAACTTAATCAACACAAAATCAACACTGATCATCATCAATATCAATAATTTTTACAGTTTACCAAACATCTTTCAATCAAATCTTAATTTGTGTTAACTTTTTCATCAATTTGTCACAATTAACGAGAAATTTAATTGTTCAAGATGATCATTCACCTTTAATTAACGATCTGTATTCTCAAATTGCTCAATCGCTATTTCTCATTGATTGTAAATAATTGATTCTCTGTCTCTTGTCTTACATTATATGTTAATTGTTACAATCAACTAATCGTGATTCTTAATCTAATCAAGAGACATTCTAATTATATTTCATTTAATTTCGTTTTCTATTCAATTTCTTTTCATTTTCATCATCCAAATGTTTTTGATCTGTTTTCATATTCACCTTGATTGTTAGAGTTGATTGTCTTCTCAATTGTCTTCTGTTAATTGTAAAAAATAATTAACACAATCAACTAATCAATTCAAGAAAATCACAAATTTTATATAATACAAATGTAAATTATACAAATAATAGTTTCTTTGAATATGTTTTATGATTAATAATCAACAGTTAATTTGATAATTTTGGTCTATTTAATTTATTCATTTCTAATTGTCACTAATTGTTTTAATAACTATAGATGGATTGAAAATATTAATAGATTAGCTAATTGTAGCAATCAATCATTTTATTATTGGTCAAGAAATTAAGGTAAATAACAATTTCTTTAAATTAAGAATTTAATTAATCGTCAATCAGGTTTGTAATTAAATATTAACATTCAAATTAACCAAAATTAACTGTAATAATTTAATAACAATAATCACACGATAACAATTAACTATATTTCTTGATTAATGACAAGATTATTGATTTACTAATTTGTTAACTCAAAACTAAACCAAATTAACTTTCAAATAATTTGTAAAAGTGAATTGAATCAACTTGAAATTAATTTTCTATTAATTGTTTGTATTCCCAATAGCATTTGCATGTTAATCGCATGATCAAGAAAAGTAATTAATAGTAACTAATTAGTAAGTAGAAAAGATAATACTAACAATTAGATCTACAATTATTAAATTACTATTCTAATCATCTTTCAATACATTTAACTCTTTGCTCTTCTTTTTGATTGATTTATACTCTTTGATTATCTTTAGGAAAGAATCAAGGATTTTCTTGAAGAGATTGAACAATCTTTAAATTGTGATGGTGCTCACAGTGAATTAAGATCAGCTGATGGAATCAATAGACTGTCCCAATCAATCATATTAAATAGATTCAATCAACCGAATAATATTTATTCTGATATAATTAACAGAGATTCAGATTCATCAGAAGTCGCATCAATGGAATCATGTAATACTTATTCCAGTTGCTTCTCGACTTTCAATTCTTCCTTATTGGACATTCCAACAGCCGATATTGTTAATTTAATTAATCAACAACAAAATGTTCCATTAACATCATCAACAGTAATTACCTCAGGATCTAATCAACAACCTAAATTAATGAGCAAAATTGTCGCCGAATTGAATCAACAGCAAATATCATCTTCATCGCCATCCAATAATCCGACACCAAGTTCAACGCCAGTGCCTCATCAAATTGAATCAAGTCAATCAACAATTACTCAACAATTGACTAATGATAATAACGGTGAGGATCCGTCAACAATTAATAATAATGAAATTGATTCTAAAAATGGTGAAACAAATCAAGTTAATCCAATTCTAACTACTGATGATCAAGCTCCACTTCTTGCTCAAAATGTTTATATTAATCCTTTGTACAAATCAGACGTGTTGTAACATCTAAATTGCGGACAATTAACAAATTGGAACAACAAAGAGAGATAATTATTAATTACCATCCATCTTTCGTTAATCACGATAATATTGATGAAACTAATTCGCTCTCGATTAATATTGATACTTGCCCATCAATCTAGAGTAATGGGTTAGCTTTAATTTTGTCTCATTTCGAACCAAATTAACTTTGATTCAGTTTGAAAGCTTCTGGCTCTTTAATTATCAAATTGTTGTTCTACAATAATGTTAATAGTTTTTTCCTCGGTTTTTACAATACTGTATAATTAACTAATTAATAAATCTCTTTGTACTCGAGCTTTTTAATTGTTTTGATTCTCGAAGTTTTGTCAAACTAACTTTGAGTTCGCCATTTTCAACAATAAACAAATCACTTTCTATAAAGTTTTTGATTGTACAACTAATACTCAAATAAAATGGTTGCTTGATTAACGTCAATTTGTTTTGCTAATTATTGTCCAACAAAAACTAATCAATTTAAACACCACAATTATTAATGTTAATCTGATCCAAGAGATGGCAGCAGTTTTCATGAGTGTTAAATTTGATCAATGATTTATAAATTGTTTCATTGATTGCAAAGTTGAATCTATTTAATTTTTACTGATAGAAAATTAAAAAAAAGATTATCGAATTGTTTACAATTAAAAATCATAAGTATTTCAATTGATTATATTGAGAATGAAAATAAGGGTTAAAAGGCTGGAAAGTGATTTAGTTAAATTTGGTTTTGGTGAATTACCATTAGCCAGATAATTACAATTAAATGGTCCATATGATTGACATGAGTTCATATCTGCTCTTCTTGATTCTGGAATTGATCTGAATACTGAATTAGTGTCGGTATTGGGACAAACTTGGTTCACTATTTTACCAAAACAGTCACTGTATCTGAGAAGACCACTGGATTGAGGAATCAAATCAAATTAAGATTTATGGTTAGTAAATGAATTAAATGTTAACTTTTCTTAATTGTTTCTTAATTTACCAGCATAGATTTGATTTAAGATCTCTTGGATTTCTCGATTCTCTTGCCAGATCTCTTCGGTCATTCAAGGCCTCTTCGCAGTGACGACCAACTAAATTTGCTCTTTGAAGACAAGAATCGACTCGACTTATGCTAACACCGATTCCCGGTAATCCTGGTTGTTGATTATCTGAAAAGTCAATTAGTTGATTAATATGATTAGTAATTTCTGTACATGTAAACAGAAATGTCCACTCACTCGGTGACAGTTTATTCATACCCATTGGACTGATTTGTGGATCAGAATTGACTGGCAATGGTGGCGATGGACCAACACCACCACCGAAGTACATTTCATTTTGTAATTGATTCAACGGAGCTCGACCAAAGAAACGATCAGGATTAGGCCTCGAATTCGGGTTACCATTTGGAGATTGCAATGGATTAACAGGTTGATAGAAATTGTCTCCCATCATTGGCATATTATTAGCTGAGTCTTTTGGACCAGAATTCATAGGAATATGTTGACCAGGGTGAGAATTTAAGTTATTAAAATCAACCGGAAATCTATTGGTTGGAAACCAAAGACCATTAACCCTGTTGTTCAGTTCATTATCTCCTGATTGAGGTGATTGGAAACGATCAGCATCATTTTGAGGTAGAAAATTATAATTTGGACTTCCTCGTTTACCAATATGATTACCGAACGGATTTTTCAGAATTCTAATCAAAATTTAGTCTATCAATTAGTAAGCTAGTCAAAGTAAAAGAAAATCAAACTTACCATCGTTTTCTAATTCAATGTTAGTCTCATTACTGCAGATCCATGTGAGGTTGGAACCTTTTCCAATCAAATAAATCAGAACATACTCTTTATCCTGATACGAACACTTCGAGTCAACATAGTTACCAATACACGATTTAAAGTTACGATATTTACTTAGAAACGATTGCAAAGAAATCAATTAATCTCTATTGGCAAATAACCAGCGGCAGAGAAATACTAACCTACAAGATTCAGGACTAAGGTCATTTGATTTGAACGGATAATTAGCCAAGCAATTGGTGATTTCTTTGCTTTTGAAACAACTCGAATCGCTCCAATCTAATTAGGTGTAAGACAATCAACAATCAGATCAAATGAATGAACAAGTTTCAATCTCCTCATCTGTTGATAAACAAACGATTAGGGTTCTGTGGTATCGCAATTAACTTACCTTTATTGGAACTGCATTTATCAATTAGATAATTTCTGGTTGAATCAATAATAGACCAAGTTGATTGCGTTGTTAAATCATCTCTCTGTGAACATGTCGAAGCTAAATTAATGATACAGGCCAATTTTTGCCGAATCACTCTTAATCACGTAAACAGAAAATCCAATCAATAAGATACAGATTAAATTGTATGATGAATTCACCTTTTTAATTCATATAATTAATACTAATCTATTAATAACTGTAAGCCTATCACTTATTGGACAACCGATTGATTTCCAGTGTAAAAGATTCAATAACAACTTTGATTAGAGACAATCTAGTTCTCTTAATTAGTCTGGACTATTAATTTAAGAGCAACTTCTACATAATTGTTATTAGAAAACCATCAAATTAATTTGATACAGAAAAAGATTGAGTTGTTAATTGTTCTCAATCAAATCTTACTGGAAATGAACGAAAAATCTCAACAATTAAAGGCTTTGATTTATTAATAATTGTGCAATTTTCTGGTCTCATATATTTGACATTGACTAAATTGTTAAGCTAATCAATTTGGGTTTAAATTGAATTTTAATCACTCAACTTACCCACAAGTCGATGAAGACCAAGATAATCCTAATCCATGATAACCAGTATTTTGATTAGAGTTGATCAACTTAATTGTTTCTGATTGACATTGGTAAAGGATCTGACAATCACCAGTGAATTGTTGTCCATTGGAATCTTATTAAAAGTAATCAATCATTAGCTTTTTCATAATTGTGATTAAATCTGTTAACTTGACACTTACTTGATATCAGAGCAATTAAAAAAACCGAGCACAAAAAATGATAATCCATTGGAAACAATTAGTTAATTGTTGTGTTGATTGGAAACCAGATAAAAAAAGATACCAAATTTTTTTAGGTTCATCAACTTAACTGAATTAAACAAATCATATTATGATACAATTTACTGTTTCAAATTTTGATTCAACTGTTGTTTTCTGGTTTCTATCAGTGACTATTAGTTAATTGCTTGTCATGATTAACTGTTAATTCCGGATTCCGATAAACTTAAACATAATCTGTGCTCAGGCTGATTCATCAAATTTAATTTCAGCAATTCATGATTTTCATTCATTAATTTATCATTTCCAATAATTCAAATTAATCGTCCAAAAGTTACAATCAAAATTGATGGAAAAAAATTAACTTTGAATTTTAGACTTTTTGTCAACAATCAAGTTGATTGTTGACAATTGACCAACATGAAGGTTAACTATTAAGTCTTTGTTTACTGAATTAAGAAAAATCTTCCGAATCAATTTATTAATAGTATCATGATTTAATTAAATCTCTAACCAAATTAATGAAGTGGTTTCAATATTATGAATTATTCATTAATTATTATTATTATTGTCTAATCAACTAATCGTTATTCAGTTTTGACATTTAATTTGATTAACATAACCTTGGATCAAAGATAAAGTGTTAATTGTGTTAATATAATTAAGGAATTAGTAATTAATGGAGTCTAATTATATTAATAAATAATAGTTGCATTTTAATTGTACTTGTATGTATTAAATTGTTGGCTAGAAATCACTTTCTTATTTAAATCATCATCAGTAATTTATTACAGCAGATATTAAGTAACGGTTAATTAGTGATTTAATAGATAATCAATCGTTTTGATCAATAATTTTATTGATCAAACTCAGACTTGGATTATGATGATTATTTGATTGTGAAGGTTTCTGATTGTTATGTTCATAATTTATTGAAACTGATTCGATATTAATTGTTAACATGAAAATCCGAATCATGTTCAATTATCAATTGTCTGATTGTTGGGAGACAATTGTTGTTTATTTCTGATCAACTAACTAACTAACATGTCAGGAAAATATTAAATTGTGGGTTAATTGTGAGCAGACATGCTCTTTGTTGGTACAATACAATTCTGGTTTTTTCAATCATTTCACAATTGAATTTACTTGTGATTTGATGAAGATTTTGATTATTACAATAAGATCCTAATCTCCAATCGCAAGGATAATTAATCCTCTCTACAATCAATTAACAACAAAGTTAATAGCAAATTATTCAATTGTGAGCCCAATCACTTCACTAATTGCTTATCAACTTTATTGTACCCGAGTAACAATCAACTAATTGTCCACCATGGCTCTATTTGTTGAAGGTGAAGGTGATTTAATCCTGGTAATTTTAGCAATTCTCGGTGTGATGATTGTCGCCGGGATAATATTATTCACAACACTTAAATTGTGCTACAAAAAATGATCAACAATTAACTAAATTGTTTTAACCCTGACCCTTTATCCCTTAGATAGTAATAGTTACTTGATTTTTATTCATTGATCTTATTAATTGTCACCTTAAGTGAACTTTAGTCTCATTAGTTAACAAAAGGAATCAACTTTAACAATCATTTTGATCAGATGAAAATTAAATCGATCGCAACAATCAAGTAAGTTTCACCGATAAATTAACAACTTAAATCAACTTACTTTATGTTTAAATGATCCAAATTATGCTTCAAATGTTATGTAACAACAATTAGATTAGAAAATGATAGTTAATTGTAATAATGTCTACTTAATTGTCCATGTAAGTGTTTCAGCTCAATAAACTCAATTTTTAATTCTATTGAATTGATCATCTTTTCCTCTGAGGTTTCGAAGTGATCTTATTATATTTTGATCTAACGATCGAATCTGTCTGAGCATCTTCATCTCTATCATCTCTATCATCTTTATCATCCTCATCTTTATCATTTTCTTTCATCTTCTTGTCTCTTCCGTTCTGAGTCTCTTTTTCAGATTCCATGGTCTCTGTCTGATTCATGTTCATCATTGAACTTCATCTGTTCCTCCTTCACTATTCAGATCAATTACTTTAACTGATTGTCCATCGATCAAATTTAATTCAGTTTCACTTGCGCACAGGCCACAAATCCGATTATCATTAACTTAATTTAATTTCTTGATAATGTCAAGGTCAATCGATTGACGGACAATTAGAATGTTGAAGATTTTGATTCATTGCGAGGATGAACCGTTGATCCTTATAATCGAACTAGATTTAATTATTGTAGATTAATCAATCATCATTTGGAAGATGATTAAAACTTTCAACTATAAATTAATCAGAGATAATTATGCTAATTATTTAGTTATTTTGATTAAAGCTCACAAAGCATCGCGATTTGAACTTTCGCTATTTTTCATTGTTGATTCTTGTTTATCGATTGATCGTATTTTCAGTTCAAGGGATAACATGATAATAGAAGTAAATAATTGATAAGCAATAAATAAAATTATCGCTTCAGGTTGAGTTGATTGTGATTGTATTCCAAATCACAATAATTAAAGGATTGATAATAAGCTTGATCTCCAGAGAAATTAATTAGACACTCATGATAAAATAATTCTGGGATCTGTTGATCGATGATTCCAGGTAAACATCATGTCTATTTTTAGGTTCGATTTTTTTTCTCGTTCTATCAGCTGATCCATGGGGATATTTTCTTTATTTGTTTCAGTTCATTTTCCAGAAAAACTTTTATTCTTCTTAAAATAATTAAGACCATACAAAGAGCTTCCAATTTCTTATGGTTAATACTTACGAGTTGAACAATTTAATTTACTAATTTAAGGTAAGTTAACAGTTGATAATCGTCAACATTGATGTTGATTAATTAATGGCAACAGTTTTGTGATCGAGTTGAGTTAAAATAACGATTTACTTTATCCGCATTCATTATCTCGGAGTAATTATCAGCAAGAAAATTGTAACTATCAAATGTTCATTAATTAAATAGATTTTCTCTCATCATGAATGATAGAAAATAAAAGCTATTATATAAACGATTAGATAAAATCGATCTAAAATTGCTGTTAATAGAACCCAATCACTTGCTGATTGTTGATTTGTAGCATTTGCTGCTGATGGAGCTTCGAGTTTGGCCATTTCGGAGTCGATATCATCCAATTCTTTCGCTGAAATTTGAATGATCAAAATTTTCTCGATAATTTGATTCTTAACCAAACCATGGATCCAAATAGGCGCTGTTGAAGTTGACTTTGCAATATAACGAGATCCGAGAACACTGATCATAATGAATACACCGATCATCATGATATTAATGCTCAGACATTTCACTGAAACAGAGTTGAAATCATGATTGAATCAAACGCTTCTTAAACTAAATTAGTAATGAAAATCAACTGAATTACCTGCATAAGGAGTATTATGATTGCTATCGAATCCAAGCTCATAACCGATCATCATAATCAACGACAGATCAACAAACAAGGAAAACGCTCCAATCATGATTCGACGTCGAGATGATTGCGGTAGGAAGAAGGCATAGAAAATTAATAAATTGCTCGCGATATAAGGTAAGACCATAACGTAATGATAGGCCTTTGACCTTCGGGTCAGTTCCATTTTGAGTATAATGATCGAATTGGTATCATTTCGTTTGGTTACATTCTGAAAGGATTCGAGGCTCACTGACCATTCGGGGTTGTTTGAATGAGCCAAATTCAGTGCTGGTAATTTGATTCCTATCAGAAAGATAAATGATCAATTATTGAAAATGATATCAAATATTCTGGACAATGGTTGACATAAATGATTAACTTGTCAGTAGATAGAATCGATTTACCTCCATAAGGCATTAGGTTGACAGAATTTGTTGACAAATATCGCACATAAATTGGGAATTTGCATTGCTGCTTATCGAATGGATAATCAGTTAAATCCATTCTACATTTAAAGGAGACAATTAAAATTCTGATCCATAAAACTTGACCATCGGATTTAACTTCCAGATTAAGATTATCCTCTTCGTAAAACTTTGTTTGGTAAGTGGAAGCGATAATGTCCGGTCTCCAGATGAACTTGGGTGGAAGGTCAAGGTGGTCAATTCCTTGATAATCCTTTGGGTTCCAAGTAAGATATTCATCTGTCCATTTCTTTGTGTGGAAAATTAATCCCCAAAAATAATTGATTACAACCAAATTAAGAAAATCACTCATTAGAATTAGTATCTCATGATCCTTATGATTCCGTTACCTCATTTTACTTCAATTTCGTAGTCACGCAATTTTATAAACTATCGATTGGAACTTAATTCATATCATATAATATATTTACTGATATTCACTTTCAATTGTTGCCTTAAATTGTTACCTGTTCATTGTTTGTATTGATTTTCTTACCTTTTCCTGAACTTTTGCTTTAATAACCATTCAAGTAATATGTTAGTTTATGAACTTTTCTGAGCCTCCCATGAAAGAGGCTTAAACTTAAGGCTAATTATCAGGGATTCGAGAGCAAATGTTCAAATTTATATTCTTACCTGTTGTATTGAGCTTATTTTCACCCTGAAAATGTTCAAGTTTAATAAGTTCGTTGAAATTTTTGGTTCTTCCAATGTAAATATATCATTAGAATGTTATTTCAATATCTTAACATTCATTCAAGTTAATTAAATACCTTGATTGTTATGAAATATTATTAAATTGTCTCAGTATTGATTTATTGATTGCTATCAAATGTAGATTGTTGAACTATCCAACAAATTGATTGTTTCAATTGGAATTATTTCAATTTGATTATCGATTCTCATGATTAGTTGGTTATTATTATTATAAGAATATTTTGAAATTTACTTACCAAGATCATGTAAGATTCAAATGTAATTGCTGAACTTTTTGTATCCTGTCAATGAATAAAAGATTTTTAGTTGAACCCAATTTCCAATAGTTAATCACTAATCTGTTCAGATTAATTAACTTACCACTTCCATTAATCGTTCAAAGGTAATTAACATTGAGACATTAATCGGTCGATCAAAATTCTTAACTGGTTTTACATTTGGATCATAACCAGTTAGCAAAAGTTTCTCTCTCAAATTAGCATAAATTGATCGGTTATCCATTGATTGAGATTTACCTGAAATCAATTAGATTAAGAGATTTCCAATTAACGACTTAACTGATAAATTAATTTGAAAAAAAACTCACCAAGGAGAAAGAGATTTAAAATTAACACAGTCAACATTTTTCAAAGATTTTCGTTGATTAAATTAAGGCAACAGTTTACTTGAACCTCTAATACAATAACTGAATCAACTAATTAACCAAACAAAGTGTCACCTAAACGCCTCCTAATTAATTAATTGTTTAAATGTCATTAACTTCATTTTTCTGGTAAAACAAAACATTTGGTCAACATCAAAGATGAAAACATAATTAGATTGTAATCAATTACTGATCGTCAAATTACACATTAACATTGTTCCGATTATTAAATATCAAATTCTATTGGTAAAGATTAACTAATTGTTTCTCTTTCAAAAAGGTTGATTTAAAAAGCGATTGTTGGATTAACCAAATTAACCCGATATCGAGATGATCCCATTTGATGATTGAAAATCGATTTTGGAGCCAATCAAAGAATTAGCTTTATAGCTATTAAGTTGAATTGTTATTTAAGAATTTTTTCTTTGATTAATTGTTCATTTACTCGATTTTTATGTTTAATTGTGATTCAATTTTCTCTTCATTTGGATTAATTTATTTATCGAAAGAAAAGATTAGATAAGAACGAAAAGTCCCTCCACCTGTGGATCGTTTTGGTAACTATTTGAAAAGAATAGAAAAAAGTTGAGGTAAAAAGTTCGATTTGATTTTTATCTTTGACAGTTTAATTTTCTTTTGTTTTTGTTGACAATTTAAAAAGATTATTGATTTTTTTCTAATTTGTTTTATTTAAATTCAATTATTCAAATTCTCCTCTTACTGTTTTACGTTCCTTCTTAAAATTATTACTGGCAAAATATTAAAAAAATGTCTCAATTCATTTCTTCCCAATCAGTGTCTTCACAAACTCAATGTAATCAACTGCAAGACGCCACCGAGTTTGTAAAACCCTATCTGGAAAACGCCTGGAAACTGATCCAGGAAGCCAGGGCGGCAAAAATGGAAGCAAAAACAAGTTACTCAAAAAATAAAAAGGTAAAAAGTGGAACTAAAAGGACAAATGAAAATGAGAGCGAAGATCTCACTTCAAGTCAACCAGAGGAACAACCAACATCAGCTGGTAAGAAGCGACGACGGGACCTGGAATGTTTATCACTATCAGTTAGTGATAGTGATTTGGAAGATTATGGAAATTCGGAAGATGAATGTAATGTTGATGAGGATTACCCATTCATTGTGGACGAAGAAACGGAGAGTCCAGATGAGATTCTGCTGAGCAGTGCAAGCAGCACTCTTTCAAGTGTTTGTATCAGCGAAGATGAGGTTGAATGTGTCTTGGCAGAGAAAAGAGAGGATAAAAAGAGGGAAAAGAAAGACACAAAAAGGAAAAGACAAAATGGCCGTGACAAAGTTTTCTCTGACCACAAGGATAATAACAGAAATGGTAAAAAGTTGATACATCTTGACTCCGACAGTGATGATGAGGTGACTGACGATGGCAGTGAGGCTCATGTTGTCTGCTTCATTTGTGGTAAATATAATACAAAGAAAAAATTTTATCTATGGATCTCATGTACACTCTGTAAAAATTGGTTCCACAAAGACTGTACTGATTTATGGAGGAAAAAAATCAAAGACATCGAGAGAGACAATTTCGTTTGCAGATATCACTGAACAACAATTCCATCAAATTTATCATCATCATTCTCAAGTGCCCATTAACCTGATAAGTACATTAGACAAATGATCAAAATTCTTACAGACAAAACAAATTACAAGCACATAAAATTATTCTACTTAATTATTTATTAATTATTATCCCCTAAATTGGAAAAGATAAATTTTATCAAAAATAAAGAAAAAGTGCTTTCAAATCAATTCAAAATTTTACGTTGGAATGGATTTTTATTCTTATTGTATTTTGTTCGATTGTCGATGTTTGTTCACTTGTCAGAGCAATTAATCGAATACAATTAATCGATTGACATTTATGGAAAATAGTTGAAAAAAAGTATCAAAGTGTCAAAGTTGAAATATTTTAGATAAATAGTGAAAATGTGTAATCAGAGTTCGGATATTGAGAAAAACATTGATGGGAGATTAGTTAACAGTTCACATGTCACAAATGATGAACTGTTCAAGTCACAAGTCGGATGATATCAATTGGAAAATAATTGTTGCAATAATAATAATTAATAATAATTAATAGTAATTGAAGTACTTTTACGTAATGATTACACAGCAATCTTGGAGGGAGAAGTGGATGGACTCGAGTTTCGTACATGGGCCACTCGCTTTAAGCTCATAATTCTACCAGGAAAAGATGAAGAAGCCGATTCATCGATATTAGTTGTCTCGGAAAGTTTTCTTTTCTTTGGATTTTCGGCTGAAAAAAAGGTAAAAAGAGAAATATTTAATTAATAAGAAATCTAAAAGAATAAAAAGTTGACCAAAAATTTAACTTACTAGTCGATTTAAATTCGATATTGAAACAAACTGGACAAATCCAAGAGTCACTGTCCGTCTCACTGATATTACCACATCGAACATGAGCTCCATGAGATGCACAGCTACAACATATTGCAATATCCCACTGAGTATGAGGTTTATCATATTTTCGGCCATCAGGACATTCACAATTCTCGGCATCACACTTGTTATAACGCTGTGACAACTCAGCAAAAGCATTTTCTTCAAGCTCCCAAGATGCATCTCTATCAATGTCAAAATAATAAATAGAAACAAAATGAGTCAAATGAGTCTTTTACTCCAAAGCGCCAGAAATTAGAAAAGATGATTACTCACATTTCAGGAATATAAATACCAAAATGCTGCATCTCCTTGCAAAAAGCTTTCTCATTGTTGCAAAGAGGACACTTGAAAAAATAACCAGCAGAAAGAGCTTGTTTCTGGACACAAGGTCGATGTAGAAGTGCATTACAACATGGTGTCTTTAAATATCCAAAGGCTCCTGGGTCTTGATCAACTTCGATAGGCATATAACAAATTGGACATTCATCTTGAAGATGATCAGCGAGATACCTTTTAGATATAGATTGTTTAGGTCTATGCTTAACACAGAAAGAGCTAAAAAGAAATTAGAATAGAAAATAAATATGAGAATGGGATATGAAAATGGAGAGATCGAATCGAATTAACTTACGAAAAATCTTGATAGAACTGGTTAAGGCATTTTGCTTTTAATCCACAACCCAAGTGAAACATAGTACGACATTGTCTCAGGCAACATGCTGATGTAGCACCAGGTTTACGACAAAAGGAACACTTGAGTCGCTTTCCACGGGCCACTTCTTTGAGAATATCTTTCTTCAAGAATCCTTGAATACCTTCTTCATCTTTCCCATTCTGCTCCAAGCCACAAGCAAATAACAAACAATAGTAATGAGCAACAATCTCTTCGTGCTTATGTTTTTTCCCCAACCTAAATTCATCGATGTCAGCTGATCCACACAACAGGCAAGGGTCTTTCTCTAAGTAAGAAAAAACAAGGGAGAAAAAGAACAAAAAAACGAAAAAATGCATCAATTTAATAGAAAAGAGAAAAAAATTAAGATACTCACCACCACCTTCTGAACCTTCACCATCTTGTTTGGATTTCATTCTTTTACGTTTACCTTGCATTTTATGTTATTAAAGTGAAAACCACTAATCAAACACAATAAATTAGTTGATTAATTAATTAAATGCGACAATTAAACATTAAAGACAAACACTTACAGTTAAATAAATAGTAACTGTAACATTCAACACTCAAGGAGAAGACCAAATCTCAACCAAAGAGTAAATTTTGATCAATGAAAGTGAACAACAAAAACTGAGAATGAACGCGGCATTTTCTTTGCGCGGGCAATTCGAATACTTTTTAATAACAATCGATTTGATTTTGATCGACCGATTAATGTCTCAATGTTAATTACCTTTGAACGATTAATGGAAGTGGTAAGTTAATTAATCTGAACAGATTAGTGATTAACTATTGGAAATTGGGTTCAACTAAAAATCTTTTATTCATTGACAGGATACAAAAAGTTCAGCAATTACATTTGAATCTTACATGATCTTGGTAAGTAAATTTCAAAATATTCTTATAATAATAATAACCAACTAATCATGAGAATCGATAATCAAATTGAAATAATTCCAATTGAAAATAAGCTCAATATAATAGGTAAGAATATGAATTTAAATATTTGCTCCAAATTCGCAATTCAATTCAATTGAAATCGAAATCGAAACCGTTAGATGTCAGTAGGTATTCGTAAGCATCGGACCTAAAGGCCGTTCCCTTTTGGAAGCCCGCGAAAATCAAAGAGAGAGGGACAAAAATAAAGGAAAGAAAAGAAAAATACAAAGAAAGAGGAAAGACAAACCAAGAGAGAGAGAGAGAGAGAAGATTGAAATCGATGTAAGATTTGGTTTGTTCATATGGACGATATCGAGACATTTGAATCACAAATGATTCTTATTAGTATTTAAATGTTCGGGTCAAGATGAGTTGACCGTAGATGGAAATGAGTCAGTGTGAACCATTTCCCGTGTTACAGTTTCATTAATTTTGTTATAACGATACATTGATTGTCTATGGGATTTTGAAAGGAAAAAGCGGAAACAGATTAATAAGAAAGTAATAAAAAGTCGAATGAGCTCTGTTTCTGTTTCTCTTTGATTCACTCACACAAGTTGTAATCCACATTTAGAATTGCGATATAAATTTAATTTTATCTTCATTTTTTATATCTACTCATCACTTTACACTTTTCCTCTTTCATTTCTCTTTCTCATCCTCCCTCTTCTTCCTTTTTCCCTTCAAATCATCACTTGCATTTTCATTTCTCCTTTTCCAATGTACGAGGTTATTAAAAGATCTCCCTCAAGTCAGTAAAACTTGAAAGGGAAACTCTAATCTAATGTACCTTCTTCATCCTCATCACTTTTCATTCTCTGTCAATTTAGTTTTTTAGCTTCTCCGAGTCTGTGGGCTCAATTTTTGGTGATTCAACATCAACATTTTTAATAGACGCACACAAATAATAGAAACTGTTGGATAATATTTTCGCAACAAGAATTAACTTCGCCAAGATCAGCAGTAGTAGGGACCTTTTGTTAGCCTCTTTTTTAAGCAAATATCACCAATTTTTTATCATCTAACTTCCTCCTCCTCATCATCATCATAATCATCGTCATAATCATCATCCATCTCATCAGCCTCTTCTTTGTCATCCACATCTCAAGGCCAATTTACAAATTCATTCAACAACAGTCTCTCCTGAGATTTATCATCATTCTCGGTCATCCCTGTTTTTTATACTTTGATTTGCCTTCCATTCACTGAATTGTATTTCTTGGTTCACACTTTTCGTGATCATATTTACTTTACATTTTTATAGCTTTCAAATTCTGTCAACTTTTCTACTAATATCTTGTATTGCGAAGGCAAATAAATGCATCGGTCAAATTTCAGAGCTTCAGCCATTGATTATTGGCCTCGATCAATGTTCACAATGTGTACGAACTAAATAAACGAGAAACGTAAAGTGAGACCTCGTAAAGTTTTCCTATTAAAAAGATAATTACAATTCTTGTGATTAGATTTGAATGTTATCATATGAAAGATGATTGCATCAACTGAATAGTTGATTGTTTCCAATCCTATACAAATGAAATTAACTTTTACGGTTAATCTTATTGGGACAATAGGTAACTCATCTTATCTGTTAATAGGAAGAGTGTAACAGACAAGTGACATGAATGAGGTTGAAAATAATTGACAAGAAAATGAGATGACCCCCAACTTATCAATTTCTTTCTATCAAACATCAACACATCTAAAACTCCAAATAGAATAATAATAATAATTGTTTCTTCCATTTCGATTACAATTCCAATTCTAAAGACCACCTCATAAGTTTCGATAGCTTATCAAGCCCAAAATCGAACAACAATAAGATTTGAGTCTCAATTTTTCTTTTGAAAATCAATCTCATCATCTTCGATTGTTTATTGTGATTCAGATCGATCATGTAAATATTAATTATTCTTCTTCTTTTCTACCAAATCTCTTTAAATTATCATTTTCCAAATACAAGATTAAATAACTTTAGAACTTGATAATATCTTATCAAGTTACAATGTTTCATATTTTCAGGGTTATTTGGGAAATGAAGTAACGTGGTGTCAGGAAATGATGAATATTTTCATCATTTTTTGGGTTAACTCGAGTTTATTCATGAAAAGAAAGAGAGAACAAGCTAGAATACGAGGAACATGATAATTCAAAGGGTGATGGAGAAGATGAGAACCAGAATTCATTATCATTGGTTTCATTGAATTTTAGGCCAAGGCAATGGCACAAAGACGATCGTAATAATAATGGCAATGATGAGTAAAGAGGAAGAGAAAATCGATGGAACAACCTTTTCCTCTTTCCATTTCACCATGAGATCTCTGTCTCTGTCTTTCAGCTTGTTCATGAAAAAGACATGATAAGAATGCTGATTGGATGAAGATGAAGCTGCGCAAATTGCATCGAAAGACATTATCTGAACTTTGATATACAAAATTGAGTAAAACTGAACATTTCAGTTACCGGAAGTACAAGAAAAAGCAAAAATACCCTATAAACAACCAACACTGTGAGTAGATTGGTGAAGAAAACTAGAATCTTCAGATCTAATGAAGATAACAATAATAATGAAGATGATGATTATTTTATGGTATACTTATTTTTCAGTCTATCTCCTGCTGTTGTTGATGATGGTATTCATGTTTTCTTGTGTTCAAGAGTAGGAAAAGTTCATTTGATGAAAATTAAATGAATGACATGGGATGAGAAACATTCTGTGATGATTAGATCGAGAATTATGTTATTCCATGAGAGACTTGAGTTATAAAAGTATTACTATTATCATTATCATTTCTCTTTCTGTTGATGTATTAGATCAACATCTCGATTGGGTGAAAAAAACGTCGATAAAAATGGTTAAAGAAACTAAGAAATTCTCATTTTCTCTCCCTTTTTAGCATCATTATCATCATCTGGAAACGTTTCACTTTAAATAGATCAAGAGGGTTAACAATTGATTCCACCTTTTTCATGTAATCAAAAAGATATTGGGTAATTGTTGATGATACGAGTATGTGAGGATCAACATTCAGCTCAACAAACCTCAAACATTTCGACAAGTTTAATCGTCTTTTTCCTCTCAGATCATCACCATGTCCAAGAATCTCTATCATGACCGCCCTCTTCATCTAGCACTGAATGATAAGCTCATTACACTGATGAGAATCAGTTCGATTTCACTTGTCGAGTACTTTGGCCAGAAAATGATGAGATTCTATCAAGTTATCGTTGTTTGAAATATAAGCTAATGAATAAGATGAAAAAAGAACCAAATAAGATCGATAAAAGAAAAAAAAGCAAATCAAACTGATGATAAACTTAAAGTTAATTTGAAACCAGAAACATTAACTATTACAATGTGAGCTGATTTTACTCTTGAGTCTATTTTATCCTCATCCTCAGAAAGAGTTCCAATGAAGGTTCACTTAACAAATGATCATTATTTCAATTGTTACTCAACTTTTATCTAATTTATTGATACTTATAAAATCACCAGAGAATCCATTGCATTTGTAGTCTTCAAGCTAAAACGTTGATTATCCCCTTGTAATAGTTTACTAATAATTAATGAATATTAAATCAGCTCGAATATCGGTTTGACCTGGAATTAAATTGGACAAAATATTATAAAGAATAAGTGATTACGGTGTATTAAAAGATTGCCATTAAATGTAAGTTTAACTAGATGTAAATTATTCACTTGTTTCAAGTTAATTCAATTAGATTCACCAGAAGAAAAGTAATACAAACCACTAATAATATTAGCACAATCTATTTTTTATTTCGATCACTATTCATCCAATTTCTTCCATTCATCTTACACAATTAAACTGTTATCCAGCTAATAGAAAACTCGAAGCGTGTCGAACAGATCGAAGCGAAATCGACTTTGATAATATAACATATGTTGTCTTTTTAATTCTTGTGGTTTCCTTACCTTTGCCATCTCCTTAAATTGCTTCGATCACTTTCGAGAATTGGAAGTAATCAATGATTAAAATAAACTCGTTCATAAGTCTATGAAAACGCTAATTTGTTTCAGCTCTAATTGGTACGATTCATTTACATTGTAGTACATAATATAATGTACGAAGGTTCATTTTCTGACCTAAACTGAGACATTTGGATGACGATCCGAATGTAATATTGATATCGAATGTCAATTGACAAAGAGCGAATGAAATTTGATCCAATTTACAACAGAATAGTGAACTAAAATCTCATGTCTGAATAATATCAATATGAATAATTTCAAATGAAACAATAGATGAATGTCTATTTGGTTTAATCTTAGAAAAATAGAGAGATTGATCAACATTAATCACAATAATTATCATGTATTTAAAAGTAAAGCAACTGGTTCATCGATCATCATGGTTGAAGAGTTGAAATTAAGTGACAGCACTGAGACTGTCATCCGAAATTGTTATTTGCTTATTGTTTCCAAAAATTCTCTGTTTCCTGAATCAGTGTTTGGAATTTGCTTGGCCCTTAATCAGGCATTCGTCTGATCCAATAACATTACGATTGCTGTTCCGTTTCCGTCTGGTAAAAGTTAAAATGTAAAGATGAAAATGATTAGTGAAACAATGATGAGATTCTATCCCGCAGTAAATATCAACAAGTAAGAATAAAACAGAAATGAAATTCAAGTGCTGATGATAAAGATGATGAAAAAAATGATGATGATAAGACGAATATCATTTGATAACTAATCTACAAACAAGCTGAGATCGTTGACAGGCTCAAGGCTGTCAGAGATACAGTATCTCTTTCATATTGCCTTCCATTAGAATACAATTTAGATGAAAAGTCTCTCTTATTCTTGTTCTTTTCTAATAGATCGAGTAATATCATTTGATTAGGCGCCCAACATACACGTTTGACGTGCAAACCTTTTCTCTTGGTTCGATTTATGACAGCTCAAGCTACCTGTTTTTTACTTTTCTTTTATTCCTCACAGCATCTTCAAGGATTTACCTTTTTCTCTTTCCATCTCATCTCATCTTATTTGCTTCTTTTTACTTTTCTCATCCCTTGGATCTTGTAAGAAACAGAAAGAGTACTCAACATAATTTCGCTCTGCCCCTCCTACAAAATAAGCTTCAAATGTCATGAGCTCAGTGTGAAGCCATCATGATGGTAGCATGATATTGGTTACTTTTCCTTCATCTTTGTTATTATTACCTCTACGTAAGAAGAGGATAATAGTTGTACCATTTTACTTCATTTTTATCCATCTTCCTCCCTCCAAGTATCTTTAGGTCAATCAAAGAGCTGCGAAAAACACTCACAAAACCTTAGATGATAAACTTGCTCTTATATCAAAAAGTGAACCTTAAATCTCAATCTAATATTTGAAATATTTAAATTTTCGTGACTCGTTTTTTATCATATGAAGGTTTCCTTTTGGTCAGTGGTCAACTCATGTTATCATCATGAAATGCTGACTATTCCCAAGTATTCAGAAAAGTTTGACAGTCAATCAACTCGATGTTGATTAAAGCTCGTGATTCCATTATCAGCCGTCAAATCAATTTTCTTATAATTACAATTGTATTACTTATAATCGAAGGGTAAACAAGTCTCATAATATCTAATAGATTATCACTGATGATATACTATCTTTGTAAAATGTCACCATCAAGTCCATTGAGATTATTAGGTTTACACTTTTCTCTTTTGATTGTGGATGATGATTAGTTGATGAGATTGTTACATAAAAGCAATTTTTGAGGCTTGAAAATCAAATAATCGAATGTAAATGTAAAAAAGACGAAGCTTCTTGTCTATCCGATTTAATGGCTCATCTGATGAGCATCATATTCCCTGTTAATCTATAATATGCTCGAATAGTTGTTAATATTTTCGATCGCTGAGCCGAAAGATATTCGATTTTGTTTATCCTCTAAAACAAGTTCTAGTCGATCAAGAGGAACAATAGTTTCTGTTAATCTTAACTGTCATTAATTAACACAAGTAAATAGATGTAGATGGAATATAAAGTGAATAGAGATCGATAATTACATTATAATTGTATTCTCAATTAGATGAGGAGCAAAGAGGACGATCAATTCACCATTGATCATGTAAACCATATCAATTTCACTTAACCATAATTCATAAAGATGAAATGGTTTTTAGCATCAATGTAATTTGGTCACTTGAATGTCTTTTACCAAACTGCTTGGTTTTCATGATTATTCAAAGACAAGTTTAGTTCCGGTTATCAAGAACAAAGTTCCGGATGAGCTTTGTTATGCTAAATTTGCCTTGATTAGGTTATCATTTCATTTATTTTCATGTCATCGATATCATTTGATTACATGTAACTTTATATATTATCAATAGATATGAAGATAGAGAAGCAAAGATAATTTTATCCATCATTAGCAGCTCAGGAATCTGGAGGAGACACAATAATATTAATAATGATGAATGAAACATGATGATGAAAATAGAGAATCAGTTTTACCAAAGATTAAGACTGTTGGTGGTTTTTTCTTTCTTTCTATGGGTAAAATTAGAAGACAATCATGATATTGATGAAAAGGAGAAATGAAGAAGTAAAAACTTGACCTCAGGGTCCATGTTCTTTGGTTATATTTACATTGGTAACATTTTAATGCTAATGATAGATTCAAGGTGAGGCTTGAATTAATTACTGAACACACCCAAGAACCGAGCAACATACTAAACTTGGAAGAGACGATTAAAAGTATCTCATTGAAGACCTTAAACCAGAATCATCATCATCACAGCAATTTAAGACCCGCATCAATACAATTTAACATTAGTGAATCGATGAAACGAGAACGAAATGAAATCATTTCAGTTGGTCTAATGTACCCAAACATTTGAAAAGTTGAAACGATCCATCATAATTGGAAATGATATTACTTGAAATTTGAACAATTTGTGAGATAAACACAATTAAATCGATAAAGTTATAGAGAAAATATCGACTTGAGTCAATTCAAAGCTCAAATGTTTCAATTTGATTCCATTGCATCGAGAGAGAACGCAACTCAATCAAGTCACTCACCAGAGAAAAGTTTCATCTACATGGCGTGTGATTCATCATAATTAAACAATAAGAATTGTGTAGCTCGTCCTTGCGAAACCTTTCAAACTTCATCTTTTTTAGTATCAATAAAAAAATCTATTTCAATTGAATCTCTCAGAGTTGTTATTTGAATGTGAAAAAGAAACCGGAAGAAATGAAAATAATCTGACACGTGCAATCAATCTAAATACAGATTGATGGATCACATAAGATTATGAAATTGACAATCAAGCGACCTTTTCATCATATAGAAAACAAAGTTAAGTAAAGTTGATAAATATAATTGAGGTTTTCATTGGGATTCCAAAAGCAACAATGTAAACAGAGAGATTGATGCATTTAATGTCCTGTTTCGCTGATTACGCTAATTAAGTGTTTCTTTTTAGCCTCCGTTGTTAAGAAAACAAATAACAACTAAGACTCATCATCATCTTCATCATCATGAATTGAGTGACAGCCAAAGGGTAACTTGCTGAAGGGCGTTAATCAACAGCAATTGTTGTTCACTCGCAATTGTTTTAAATGCGACAATGAAAATTAATAAGTGAAAGTAATTACTGGTTATGTTGCCAATGATGATACCTTTGTAAAGTTGAACAACTATAATTTTGAATTAATTGTTACTTTCTAGTCCGTAATCATTAATAGCTGATATTAGTTTAAATGTTCAGCTAAGGTAAACTTTTGTGGCTCTTAAAGGCTTCAAATGGAAAGACAATTAGATAAACTTGTTCTGTTTTGTTTTCGATTAAAAATTGACCATAATTAACACAGAATTCAGTGTAAATGTTTCCAATTTCAAGCTGTCGACATGAATAAAGATTTACAAATCTAATTAAAAGAATCAACAATCAACTGTGGAAATCGACGATTACATTTTTTATTAATTCGATCATTGGATGATATATTATTTTCCACTAATCATGACCAATCTGATCATCATCTCTAAAACCATAAGAAAAGAAATAGAGAACTCGAATGTTGATATTTGCTGTTTAAATTCTCATTGAATATCGATTTGTATATTTACTAGATCATTAACTTTTAACTTGATATTATCAACATTTAATACTTTACACCATTAACGGTATAATCATCGAAATTGTCTTCTTTTGGATTTTCTTTCCTCTCATGTAAGACACGAGAAAAACTTGGACGATCAAGTCGAGGGAGAATTTTTGATAAAACATCAATTGGAAATTAATGCGAAATTAATTTCATCAATCTAATGTGAAAATGATTTCCCGGTACATAGCAAAGGTGATTTATCGCTGTTCTACAAGGGATCAATTCATTTTACATGGATTAACAATTGAACATTTCATTAGCATCGACATGCAACTTATAGATGGAGCGCGAATCTCGAAGTTTGGCCCATAAGACATCAGCTAATCGATTGGAATTTCTTCTCGAACCTCACAATCACATTGACTATTGTGAAAGAACAATCGTCTACCTGGACTTTGGACAAAGTCTCACCTTGATTGACAAAAAGAAAAACACAATTTGTTTACCTGAGATGCAAAGAAACGTATAGAGAAAATATTGAAGGAGTGACGATAATGAAAGTCCTTTGATGGTGTAAAAAGATTTAAAAAGTTGCCTTGACTCGCACTTTGCAAATTCATCATGTCAGATGTGCTCATTATTATGATGATTAATAATCATGTCCAGTTAGTAAATCAGTAAATTGCATTTTCGGTAAGATAATGTTATTATTACTTTGATTCTCTTTTCTTTACATCATTTCATCTTCATCATTATCAATGAATCTTGTTGTATCCCTTTTCTTTGTGTTATCAGGGATGAAAATGACAAAAATAAGATAAGTCACAAGTGATGTTGCAAGTAAACAATGACAGGTTTGGTTGATTGGATTAATGACAAGAGTCAAGAAAAAAAAGAGACATGAAGATGATGAAGACAGAAAAAACTACCGATTCCTATTCAACGAATCTCATGGTAGGTTGATAACAAAAGGAGAGCCTGAAATAACCTATAATATCTGTTGAATGAGAATGAATCAAGATAGAATTTGATTCAATGAGTCAATATATACTTAAGAAAATAATAGTTTAACTTACGGAGTAACAATTTTGCATATAAACAAGATGATATATAGTTTTTGGAAATGATGATGAAACTTTTTTCTTTTGTCAATCGAGTTCAAATTGAATGGAACCTTTTTCTGTTCTATTTGCATATCGACATGAGTAAAAAAATGTCTCCAATATTTGACTCACGCCTTTCAATAGACATGTTCGAGTTATTCGAGGCTCAACTTTCATCTTTCACTTTGAACAAGCTCATTGAATTAATTGTTGACCGATTGTAAATCTTAACATTTATCAATCATCTTGGTTATATTGGAAAACCATTGGTTTGACTATTCAATTGGCTCATTATAATTCACGAAATTGTATTAGTTTTCAAAAGTCCGTTACATCTTAATGGATACTAATAATTACGTGATTGCTTT